GCAGTGGTATCAACGCAGAGTACTACATGAAACTGCAAAAAAAAAACATGCAAAATACAAGAAAATGCGGACGGTCACACATACTACACACTACCAACTTCACTAGTTGCTGACATGAAATTATAGATAACAATGGCGAAATCATACACTTCTGAGTATAAAAAGGAGGCATACTGGGCTTCGTGACAAGGAATTCCCAGATATGTTATCGGTTCAGATTTGTTATGCTCCTGCTGGGCTTTTAAAGGCAGTGTCTCACCAAAATTTAGTTGCCGAGATTTTTGCATTTTGCAAGCCTGTCGGACCCTGTCTAGCACTGTATGGGCTCAAAATCGCATGAAGTTCCCAAAAACCCCGTTTTCTGGAGGCCCCGCGGAAGCGACGTGGACGAGTTGTACCTTCCAACTTCAGGCTCAGCCACAGTGGCAGCAACAGAGGGAGGGTGGATGCCAAGTGGAGGGACATGTTCAAACGCGTAAGGGGGGAGACCGAAGGAGTCGTACGCGCGTACCAGCTCGCTCTCCGCGTACCACTTTGAGCGAATTTTTCTCAGCGTGGAAGGGGTCAAATTGAGTGGAACTTGTTGCATTGGCCTATTTAGAGGTCCCTATAATAGAATATGTGAAGATCCGCGCAACCTCAACTTTGGTGAGACACTGCCTTTAAAAATCCGAGGCCGTAGATGCCTCATCAGCTGAAACAGAATATGACAAGGCACAAGCAATAAGTAATGACTCCAAATCACACACCTTCAGAGGTTGTCCGTGCCTCGGATCTAAAACGTTCGAGTAACGTTTCCAGCAGTATAGAACGTAAGTCCGAAGAAACGTTTTGCAAACGTGGATCATCCAGCAATGACAGAACATCACGAGCATTTTGGAGCAATGCCAAGGAATCTTTCTGAAAACGCAGTAATGCTCTAATCATCACTGAATATATCTTTTCGAAACGAACCTGAAGAGAACTCATGTTGTAGGTTGTAGCGAACACGAGTCTTTGAAAAAGGTCAAACAATTTCCTAGCATCTTCACTCCCCAGATAAATCTCACATTTCTTCACAATGTGCTCAACATCAAAGCGGAAAGCCGTCGGTAAAACGCTTTCCACGTTTTCACCTGTGGAGAAACTCAAGATTCACTATAAAAGACTTAGTATAGAGATTATGTCACCTGTGATGTCATTAAAGGGTGGATAGATAGTTCCCAAAAACGTAATGAAATCTTTGATGTTTATATCTTCCAGCAAAAATACTCCTTCTTCGTGGCAGACAACTGTTGGAACATCACCACCTGTAAAGGAACGTCAACACTGATGATACCGAAAAAAAGCATGCACGCTTTTTGAGGAACAATACCAAAATCCTTTATTTCAAGTTGAACTGGGTGGTCTGCCTTAAAAACATTGCCTTGGCAAAATGGACCCCTTCAGTGGCGGTGTCAGATAGCACGCCCCCCGTATACACCCCCAAGCCCTACCCTTCATTTCATGCGGTAAGTCCTGAAAAGTATAGTTGTAACGAACAGAAATTTTCATCGAATGAACGAATGTCAAATACCGATCTTTGAAGGATTTTTGAATGAATGAATATGAATCGATTTCAGATTTTTATATTATTCCAATTCGGATATTCGAACATGGGCACATCCCAAAATTCGAATTTTCGTATATTCGGACAACCGAACTCGATCAAATGTTCGATCATTCGAATAAACGAATAAATGGATATTATCGAACAATATTCGGTAAGTAGAATATTCGGAAATTCGAGCAACGGTTTCTAAAACTTCCCGAACAATCGAATATTCGAATAAGTCTTCCAAAAATTTCTCGAATATTTCGAATATTCGAATAATCGAATAAATTAATCGAAAACAATTATTCGCTTCCAACCATACTAGAAAGGAGCTTCAAAAGCCCACCAATGACACCCACTCAATAGAAGTGGGCGGGGCTAGTGGGCCTTCGAAGCGGGTGGAGGACTATATGTCGCCGAATTTGGAAGAGTCCCGCGCGGATTCCCTGCAGGAACGCATGTCCGCGCATGTACAAGGGTGCGTATTTGTCGCAAATGACCGCATGGACCGCCCTTTTTCGGCGACATATAGTCCTCTACCCCCTTTGAAGCGTGTTTTGAGGATTTAGCGGAATTGGAGGGCAGAGTGGGGCAGTGGTCTACTTGAAGAGTTCACTTGCGCTAACATACTGCTAAGCTCTGGCGCAACAGATAGGCCCATGCTAAGGGACACTGCGTATGAGACGAACTGTAGTGCTTGTACGACTTTGGGCATAAAGTTCAGCATCTACTTTCATGACCACTAAGTCTTGGTAAACCAACTGTGATAGCTTAGCATTGCTGAAACGTGTTCAACGCAAACTTTAGAACATACCCCGAGAAGAAAGAAGAGTATTGGGACCGCTATCATCTTCCAAAGACTGTCCAGGCACACTGGCTCTGAAAAAAAAGTTTTTACCTACGAACAACCACTAATGGAGGGAGAGGGAAGGGGGCTAACCGCGAACTCAGAACGTCGAAATCATCTCCAGTTTCGGACTTATCCAAATTGGAAGCAGCAGATCCAGGACGCTCCGGAGTGAACAACGTTGCAAATTTTCGCGAATTGATCAGTAGATACTGAACAAAGAAACATCTGGATATACTCAAGATGAGCTCTAACAACCTCCTTATTCACAAAAACACGCATGTCGCTGTTCTTGAAAGCGATGCAGGCATTGCTGAATTCCGATGGTTTTGTAAACTTCGAATCAGGCATGGCAGCTTCTCTGGAACAACTGGAAGTGGTCGGTTCAAATAATTAATCATTTACTACCGCAACTCATACCCGGAAGTATTGAGAATTCCCAGTGTACCATCGTTATCCAATTCAACGCGAGGAATTATGATGCTCGTCGAGCGAAACTCATTGTGGAAGATGTGTGACGACTGAATTGATTGTGTGAAAGTTTTTTGCTAAGGAAATTGATTCAGACGCGTTGCCAAACAGACCCTATACAGCAAAGTACTTTCACCATCGACGCCCGCGCAACCATACACGGTGATAAGAGTCGCACAGCGCCATGAATCGGATTCCACTTCAGGATTGCACCACAACGTGATGGACACATGATCTTCGTTGACTGTTGGCTTGAATTCCCTAAAAAGGCGAGTAGTGGAACGCAGCGCAATCCTGGAGATACTGTCTTTCCGTCCTCTCTTCTTGCCGCCGAGTTCGCAGTGAAAACGATTATCTAATACGAATGATAGATATGGATGGCTGCATGTCAGATGGTACGCCGCGCACGGCGGCCGCTTTGGCGCGCTCAAATTTTGTGCCCTAAAAGCTCTTCGCCTAGAGTTTTCGGCGCCAAAACCGAGCGGGGAGGGGGGCAAATACAAGACTCGGTAACATAAGCAAGATTGGGTCAGGGATATGATTTTTGTGCTGGTTGCCGTCGCTGCGGCATTGCATCGCGAAAAACTCGCGCCGATCGTAGCCTTTGACCGTCCCTCCTGTGCAAGGCCGCTGTAAAAGTTTGCATATTCAAAGCAGTGCCCACGCAAAACTAAGCGCATGTTCGCATAAAAACCGATGAGGGTCCCTAAATAAAGTACTGTCCAGTGGAAGCGCAAATGTGCGTCTGGCATATAGTACGCAAAAAGTGGACGACAATTTTTTACCGTTCAAATGTTCTTTGCAGAAGACTTCTAAAAACCCATAAATCGGGCAAATCCTCATTCATGCATCTTTTCTCTTGCTACATATATTGCCGATTTAGAAGAACCAGTCATCTATAGAGCGCTTGTTCATGGAAACAACTGTCGAATTTTTAAGCCCATGGTAACTTTGGTACTCTGCCTGAACCATCAACTAAGGTCCGCTTTTACCACAAGAAAGCGAAAAATTAGCACTCACCACTCGAATCCGCAAAACTTCTGCTTAGCTACACAGTATCCTGCGTCGGAATATGTCAGCAAGGCCTCTCCCAGTGGACTAAACACGTGTAAATTAGGCGGAGTTCATCATGTAAATGAATGCACAACTGATACAACAAGATGGATGACTGCCACGTCTATACGTATTAGGCCTCGGGCATAGTTCACCCAATTCCGTCGCCTAGCGATTCTCTGAACAAGAAAACTGTTACGACTCGCAGGAGGATTCGTCATACAATGCTCGTAACACCTGTATGTCGTGCGAACCATGCCCGAGGCCCTATCTACGTACCGGCGATTCAAAATACGCAAGGACTGGGCGCCCTTGCGTCCGTGCAAGATAGCTCGTGCATGGGAGAGGCAGCAGATGGTAAGAGAAACGAAAGAGCGCTTGATCACAGAGACGCAGGTAGGTCCGCAATCTTTGCGTGCTACGAATCGCCTATAATCGTATAGGCCGTCTGACATCATTGTGCGTATGAACTGCACGGTTTCATATCAAGAAGAACGTTACGTTCACACTAACAGAGGACCTGTTCTTGGTCTAACAAGGGATAGTTCATACCGCGCACAAAGGCGGACGAAGGCGGACGAAGCCGCACAAAGCCGGACGGCGCACAAGGCATGTGTGAGTGTGTGTGTGTCGAGAGAAACGAGACGAGGCGTAAGTGAGTGTGTGTATGTGTGTGTAGAGAAACGAGACGAGACAAGACCCGCCTTCGTGCGGCTTCGTCCGCCTTCGTCCGCCTTTGTGCGGCTTCGTCCGCCTTTGTGCGCGGTATGAACGATCCCTAAGCCTAACAATATTGCACTTTTACTGTTCTTTGTACTTTGATATTATTGTTCGTGTGCAAGGGACACAGGCCTACTATCGGAGCTACAGCCATAAAAAACTCCTCTGTCTCGAGTAGTCGAACGCAGCTGAAGATGTAAAGCAACAAAATGATAACCACACTTACCCATTGCGTACTTGTATTTCCACTTTCAAACTCCGTACACAGTTGCTCGCAGAATGGCACGTCACGTCCATCGTAAGCTTCGAAGAGTTCTGTAGCAATGCGATTACAGCAGCAGATTACAGCAAACGTCTATGTAAATGATGATATGACATGTGACTGGCTGCGCCGCCGTTCCGCTCGTCCAACCGCGCGAGCGTTTGGGTGGAGGAACGAACGCCTCAATTAGGCCCCGCCTCCGCGGACCACTGGTCCCAACACGATGCGCAACAGTAGGACGAAAGGACCAGCAGCCCGCGGAGGCGATGCCTAATTGAGGTTCGTTCCTCTACCCCGAGCGCTTAGAGGGTTTGGTTTGGGTCCTGCAGCGCTAAGATGTCACTGTGATGAGCTCGCAGTGGAAAGTTCAAGTTAAAGTCACCGCCTCGGTTTCGAAACCTCCTGCATGAAGATTCTATGGGGAAGTGTTAACATGAAGGAAGAAGAATGTGTTGCCGTGCTCCACCCGCGCGCATCTATCAAGGGGGGGGGGGGGGGTCATATGTCGTCGAGTGTTCCCATGCGGACATTTGCAACATACAGTCGTTTTCAATACGTATTGGTTTTTTCTACCGTATGCCTTCCAGCCTCAGCATGGCGTGAATTGGTGTGGATTGGTGCGGCGCCGCCGAGAAAAGCAACACGGCGCGAACCCGAAGCGATGCGGCGCCTCACCAATCCATACCAATCCACGTCATGTTGAGGCTGGAAGGCATACTGTAGAAAAAACCAATACGTATTGAAAACAACTGTATGCGCATCCACGCACATTACCCTAGCAGCGATAGAGGACGGTATGTCCCCTTAGGGCAAGGCTGGCCGGCAAAACGTGCAAAACGGAAGCAGCTGAAGCCCGTAACTCAAATTCGAGTTATGTATCGGCCGAACCCACTCCCACCCCCCCCCCCCTGTTTTTGCCGCCGAAGACGTTTTGCGCGGGGAATTCTTGGGGGTACAAGGAACTGGGTTTGTCGCCTAACGCCCTACACCCTATGTCCCTACAATGAACGCTCGTGGATACACGCAATACGGACGCACCGCTTACGCATAGAGATACAGTCTTTTCCAACTCGGAGTAGGCGAAACATTCCAAGTGGAGCAGTGCGTCCCCACCGCCACTGGTTCAGCGGATAGATTAGAATGAAGAGACACAGACTGCAAAGCGGACTCTCGCCAATCTAATTCCCGCCTAAACTGAGTTGGAACTTACTATATGCAGGGGTACGTATTTGTTGCAGATATCCGCGCGGGACTGCCTCCGCCAATTGGCGATGCATAACTTTCTATGTCCGCGAGTTTTTCGGAAACACAATGTCTTCTGAATTTTCAGTTCATTGCACTTCGTCTAGAATTGCCTGCATTGTTGCGGCTGTGTGAATAAAAGAGTCCTTTACAAAGCAACAACGATGCGATGGTGGGTCGTCGAACGGGTCTCGCAAAATCAAGGTCATAGATCTCGCTTGAACTTGTTCTATGGGTCATTTGAAATGCTGATAATACATGTCACATTTTCTCGCACAGAAACCCATCAGTCTTTTGGCGTGTTCGCCTTTAGAGCGAAAAGGGTGCGGCTTATACACCTGAAAGGGTACATAATGAGGGGTTTTCACAGATTATGGTGCATTTTGATTGAGGTTTATGGCGCATTCGAACCCGAATTATTACCAGATTAGTGTAGAAGTTCTTGCGTAACTAGAATGCAAGTGAATAACTTTCCAAATTCTTTCCCCAAATTTGAGTGGCGGCCCAAGAAATTGTTTTCGGACGTACCTTCACTCGAAAAGAATTTTCTTGAGGAATGTCTCGAGCTGTTGAAAAGGCAGCAGTTGCATCTTCGGCGTATGTCAAGACAGTGCCATGAATAAAGTCAAAGTGTCGCTTTTTGGCATTTCGCAAGTCTTCGATTTCCTTCTGAAGTTTATCAGCCTGGTCCTTAGGAAGAGTTTGAATTTGGTTCTCCATCTCATTCAGTGAATCTTCGGTGAGTTCGAGGATAGGAATCGTTTTGAGTTGCGACAATCGTTCGGTAATCCCTACGAAAATGCGCTTCTGTTCGTCCTTCTCAAAAGCTTTCTTGGCATCTTCTAGCATCAAGTCAAGGGTTTTCAAACGATCTTCTAGGGCAGCGAAGCGAGAGGAGTCTGGATCCACATGCTTACGAGCATGGTTAGCCTCTTCGAATTTCCCCTTCAACATTGCTAGTTGTTCTCGAAGTGCCGGAAGTTGGAATTTTTCGACATCCTTGATGATCTCTTGGTTGTCTTCTTTGGATAGCAGATGATAGATGGAAATCATCTCTGTGTGGAAGTGTTCTATTGTGTCACAGAGCAGATTCTCGTCTGCGATTTCAGCTGACATCTCATGCAATGCCTCGTCGATGAATTGAAATTCGGCATGGGCGCTCTTAAGAGGATGGAGAAGTTCATTAAGCTGTCGAAGTTCACTCATGTAGTAATAAACATCACAAACATCCGTTCTTTTCCTCTCCTCAGAAATTACATCGAAGCCTCTTTCGTCCTTGATAGATCTTCTTGGTTTTGCCAACACTTTGTCGAGTAGCATTCGCCATTTGTCGAAATTAGATTTTGTTATTTGTTTTATTTGCACAAATGCATCCCAGAAGTTAACCTCTCTTTGCAATTCTGCAAACATCATTTGTGCAGGAAATAGGACTGCTTCGAGGGCTTGCACAGAAGGAAGAGATTTTGGTGCATCCTGCAGAAGAGCTACGGCCTTTTTGCATTCATCAAGCAACTCTTCTGCGGTTGGTCTAGATCGTATCGGTTCTCCTCCTGCATCATTTAAAAGGCGATCACAATCGACGTAGAGTTGGGCTAATCGTTTGGATATGAATTCGATAGCATCGGTCAGGTGTCGATCCGCTGTTCGTCCAGCAACTTCATCCTCCATTTTAATAAGACGCTGCTGAAAATGACAATCGCTCCAGCTTATAATTATAAATTTTTAACTCTATTTCAAATTTTTAACTCTAACTTATGGATCAAATTCAATGATTCAGAGTATTGGTAGCTTTCAACGAGGGCACAGCGATCTGCAGCAAGTTCATTTATTAGGTTGTCGGATAATTTCTGTTACACATTTTATTTTAATTCTTAAAAATCTCAGAAGCTTTGGAAAGATTTCATGTTCACGGCGTATGGGCAGGGTCAAAAGGTCTATATAATGATACCGTCGCATCCGCGATCCGTGCGCAAAACACCCACTTTGTGGCTGAAAATCCGTTTCTTCCCATTTTTGTAAATGAGTTGGCGTTCTCCCAGGTGATGGCCGATAGACCGGACAATGTGGTAATCAGGTAGGGCATAGACTGTAACGTTTAGCTAATACGAGGGGATAACAGACATGTCTGCACCCGTTTTTCTGAGCGGTTCGAATCTCAGTGTGCACCGTCTTTGCAATCATCGGAGTTTTTACGAAGAAAACGTCTTCAGAAAATTTCAAAAAAATCATTCTTATGTTTTCTGTATTCATTTCTATACGATGCACATAAAAAGAAGAATTTAGGAAAGTTTTTGAATTTTTCGATATTTTTTACCCCTTGTTTTCAAAACGCTAGAGGCACCGGAATGCGTCCATGTCCAAGAGACAATGCCAAAATAGTTCTAAAAAATTCTGGAAGAGGGAAAGCAAGTAAGAAAACTGCCGTAAACTTATTGGACATGCTGGTAGGTAGATCCTGCTATGTCCTAAGCGTATTGCAAATTTGGGGTTTTAAGAAAGCTTCTGGGATTTCCTAGAAATTTTAGAAAAAAGTGTAACAAAAATTATCCGACAACCTAATACTTTTTTTGATAAGCAACATAGCATTCGAAGCTTATATGGTGCTGATAAATTCCCCCTCCCCCTCTCCACACTTCTGAGAATAACTCGCGCAACATTGTGACTTTGTGCCGAAAATGTCAGCCTTGGTTTTCCTTCCACGTTTAACCAGCCCTATCTACAGAAGAAGAAATGTCTTTTTGAGTAGTCATCTCTATGAGCGGGCCCAGTCACTCACGCGCTGATTTTCCCCAAGTAAACAGTAAGCTCTTGGGGTTGGACCGGTGTCGGAAACATATGTGTGCAAAGTTTGGCGCTGGCCCACACACATAAATTTCCATAAATCACCCACTAACACTTTCCCAACACTCAGTTTTATGTATCATGCATCTTCTAGAAGTATTCCCACTAACGTGGCTTCGTTCCGATCTTTGACATGGCAACATCGAAAAGTACGTTAAATTCGCTAAAGGCAGTATCCGGGCCAGATGGGGGTTTTAGGATTTCAGTACCATGCGAGGGTGGCCCCCTCAGACACAAAATCGCGCAAGTGCGACGTCCTTACGCTCGACCTAAAGCAAGAGAAACGACCGGAACGTCTAGGGACGGGGTCCTCCGAGCTCTCCAAATTCCTGCTATGCAGCAGAGACACATGCCGCAACACTCGAAATCGTAGGGTCCCGCAGGACTCTGCTCTCAGTCTTGAAGGGAACCGCCGAATTTCAAATTGTCAGGCTTTGGAAAACGCATGTTCTCGCCGTTTCTGCGCCTTCATATGTGGATTTTCGGACTCAGCATTGCGATTAACCCCTTAGCGGATTTTCTAAAAATCGTGTAGCATCCACGCGCCCGGCTAGGTTTTTTTGTCACATCATTAGTCTTGTACCAAAGCCATGGGATGTACGAGGCCCCATATCTCGTGCGTCGGTTCTAAGATGTCTAGTTCGTTCCGCGACCCCTTTGCTCTAAAATGGCAACAATGGAGTAAATAAAAGGTCATGAAGGCAAACATCTTACGCGCTGATTACTTCATTTTATTTAGCAGTCAATGCAACTAAACAATTGCCCGTGGCCATTTACAGGGTATTCGTGCTCACGGTAATCTCTCGATACCACTCTGACATTCGTGCGTACCAGCGGCGTTCCTAAATGGCTTGCTGTGGTTGAGCTGTCTCAGTTTTTACCTAGCTGGTTAACACTTCTTGGTACTTGACAAGGAATAAGAATGAGTTGTTGTTCTTATCGAGTTGACCTGATCGCATCTCAACAGCGTTGTAGGGGTCATCGTCCTTGATTTCGATTTACTGAAGTCGGTCGAAATAATAGGAATTTTTGCGCCAATTTCGGCTTTAGAATTTGTCGATATAGCAGTTTCCAAACTAGCAAATGCTGCAGTCGGAATAGTTACGAAAAATCGGGAAATGCGGTCCTCCCCTGTTGACGTACCAGCGGCATACCATTCTCCTCCCAGCGGAGTTCCATAACGTACAAGCGGCGTGCGACTGCCCTACCAGCGGCGCTTGCGTGTTCCGCTCAGATGCGTATCGAATGCCGCTGGTACGCAACGGAATTAGGAGCAAAAGCGAAAGCAGATAAAGAAGTTAAAAAAGTTGATTGGCACAGATGGTCCCGGCACGAATGCCCCATAAATAGCGGCGGGAGACGGCGCCATCTATTCCTACCGGGCTGGCTGCGCGAGCGGTTCGCGTGCGGTAGCCGTGATTGGCGTAAGAGCGCGCATTCCCTCCTGGACTTTGTTTTCATGGCATCAAACTGTCTGAAGATTTTAGTTTTCATGGCATCAAATTGGCACTGAAGACGTTTGCGCGCTTTATTCATTGTAGAGTGAGCAAATGAAATGTTGATGAAGTCATTGGTTTCGTTTCATTGGTGTACGTACTACTTGACTTTATGACGGTGGTATCAGACAACTGCCTGCAAGACCTGAGTAGCTTGTTCCTTTTCTGATGATTGCTTTAACTATGGATAGAGACTAAAAGAAGGTTTCGAATGTCTTTTCTGTACTGACCACGATCTCTTGAAGTTTAAGCTAACTTTCCCTAACGCTGTGTAACTGCAACGATTTGAGGATGTTCAAAAACATATTCGATCTTATCATGGTGGTAATGAAGGAAATGAAGAAGTGCCTGCCTAAACCTCCGATCGTAAAGCATTCTTGATTGCATTCGCAATATGCATGCTATATTTGGACTTAGCGACGTGGACTTGGCGTTCCCCTCCGGTTAAATCCTCGTAACATTTACATCGTAAAAGGTATTGACTTATGAGCGGGTTAAGACCTCCATGCGCTGTCTAATGCTAGTATCTAAACAAGTATTTTATAAAGGTAATCTAGGTGTATTGACATTGCTACAAAACCTACCAGCATCAAACAACCAGTCATCCAATGGTTCTTCGCATAAGTTCCTTCACTCCGAAGATATCACGTTCTTGCCCAGAACTTTACAATCCATTCACTTAGTGAAGTGTTTGCACACATCGCATTACAACTCAAGTAGTTAACATTTGGTGAAGTTCCCATGTTCAAGAATCTCAATTCTTCTCCTTTTGTTGTCAGAAAAGGGCCAGTAGTAACAAAGTTCTGGATCTATTGCAACTGACGGAAACCGTCAATTTCAAGTATTTCTCACGCAGTTTGAGCTTTGAATATCAGCGACAGAGATTAGAAGAAATCATAGCATAACATTTGCAACGAATTGTACATACATATGTATCTAAGTCAAGAGACCAATGTGATCAGACTTAGCTTTGTGATGGGAAAATATCAAGAATGCGAGTTCTTCATTAAAAGGGAAAGATCGAGTTGTACTAGACTTGAAAGCTCGGGGAGAAAGGAGTTTCCACAACAACAACCGTAAAGAAAGAAAAAAACCAACTTTGCTAACATAGAAGTTCTGCGAACAGTTAGTCATAGCACCCCACGGCAGATAGATAGCTTACATATTTACTTACAGGCGCACTGCACTCCATAGTGAGTTCTCAACTTTTACTTACTTTCCAGTAACTTTTTATCCGCACGCCTCCCAATTAAGCGCTCGAAGATGTTGTGACGCACATGCAACAATGCGCGCCCCTGCGCCAATCACGGCTGCCGCACACGAACCGCTCGCGCAGCGAACGCCCGTAAAAGGGCTCGGACCTGGGAGGAGTTGCAGGTGCGCTCCATAGCCATTTCGATTAGAGCACCGTTTTTTCAACTGGAGCGCACTATCTCCAAACACTTCCACGCCGATCTGGGTAGTTTTTGAGTATACTTATAGTCTTTGACATCTTTGTGAGAATCTGACGGTAAAATGTGGACAAATCATGTCAGAGGATCAAAACTGCCAATTCTTTGTTACGAAAAGACCCGTTTGCGGGCATTTCATGCGTAGAAAAAATTCTGTGAAACATCAAACCATTTTGCTGCTTAATTTTGAAGCACAAACCCACAAGTCCGCCAGAGATTTGAAATCCTTGAAAATGTTTTGCTCGAAATACATAAATTCCAAGCATGCTGGATTTTTTGTGCATATTCGACCGACCCTACATGTGTTTGGACTCTTGTCACATGTATTTCCACGAATATATACAACTAGCTGGTTTTCCCGGTCTCGCCCGGTTCGCGGCTTCGGAGCCGGTTCGGCACGGTATCTTTCCTTATCTTGGAGCATGAGGAGAAGAGCGTGTCGTCCTCGCAACTCCAACTTTCTCGCCTCCTCCAATGTGCTTGCTCTAGCCCCCCTCCTGCCCCCCCCCCCCCTCGTTTCCCACCTAGTCATTATACTGCGCTGTAAGGGGTTACTGATTGTGAGTCAAAGTAACTCACCCGCTGTAGGTTCGCCTTGAATTACCGCATCCTTCTCACCATGAAAATAGAATGAACTCTACCGCTGTTTACGCGAAATCATGGAAATGGCTTCTTAACGCATGTCAAGAGTTCATTTTTATGTCAAAAATCAATAAATCAATAGAATGGCTCAGCGAATCGCCGCAAAAAGTAGCGCTAAACCACCTCCGGGGTCGAAAATATATGTGTACAAAGTTTTAGCTCAATCGCTTCATTGACGGGCGTTTCTATAACGAACGAACAACTAAACGAACATCTTCACAGACATTGAGTTTTATAAAAATATAGATATCTATGCTCTCAATGGATCTCAATGATAAGTAAGATCTGCTCCAAGTTTCAAGGTTTCCATATTTCCTGATTAGTGTGAACGCAGCCTACGGCATGTGCCTATGAACCCGTCCTACGAAAAACTACGAAGTTGTCCCGAAGTGATGCTCAGTGAGAACATGGCAGCAGGCCAAGTGCTGTGTTCAGCACATTGGTCAGCTCTTGCTCAAAAAAATTCTCATTAATTTCAATTCCAGTAAGTAAAGTTTCATAGTTAACTTAGTATAGCACCAAGTTTCGAAATTTGTTTGTTTCTAGAGAACTCCTGAGGTTGACAGCTGGGCAAATTAACTTTGTACATTCAAAACTATTCACTAACTGCAAAAATCCCGGTTTTTCCATTTAGCAAAACGTTACAGTCTATAAAGGTCACCAGCATAAAGTTGCCATTTTCCACCCATTTTTTTCTTCACTTTTCACTAATCATCATCGACAAGCTTATCGAACAACATTAGCAATGATGACTTACGACTATGCAGCGCTTTTGAAGCTCATGAGAAAAGGCGACGATTGCTATCAAGCGCAAAATTGAAATATGACACATTCGATTTCTTTTTTTTTTAGCACTCATTGCTTCAAAGACGTCGATCTAACAAGTTTGCCAGCAGATCTCAGGAAAGTTTATGTTTTCGAGATAAGTTATGTAATTACCAGACAGTTATAGGTCGTCTCAAGAAAAAAAAAGACAAAGCAACACTGTAAGGATGTTTTTGAAGGAGTAGGAAGGACTGAAACACAGCTGTTGCCAGAATTTGATTGGCCACATGCGAGCCGTAAAAAGAGTTCGCACACGAACACCAGTGCTAAATCCATCCCAATTTAGCGCTAGCAGCCCTAAGATACTTCTAAAAACTGCACGAAGTAGATCCTCAAGTGGTGTGAACTCAAAGAGAAGTTAGAGCAGCAGAGATTAACCCAAAAACGGAAGTTCAAGACAGTCACTGACAATGAGTTTCAAGCGTAAATTCAAGCAAAGGTCATAGAGGGTAAATGCTAACTATGGCTGGACTAAATAGTTGCATGGGTTGCTCAATCTTGCTACCTTAGATTCAATTCAAAATAGCAATTGAGAAGGTCAAAGACTCATGAAAATGCAGTTAAGAACAAATTCGTAAGTATTTTCGTTAGTTTTCCAGCAAAAGCCACCAGACTTAGCAAGTGGTAACCTCAGATAGATAATAATCCAATGCACTTTATCTGGTTTCTTTGAAGACTCGTATAGCACTACACTGGAGTTTTAAGTTGGTGACAGCCGGAGAAATCGCGCCTTTTGATCGTCTCCCCTTTTTTCGTTGTTGAACCAAAACCGATGTTGCATGACTCTAGTGAGTAGAGTAAAATAAGAACCAAAACAAAGGTCATATATAGAAGAACACAAAGCAAAAGTATTGTTGAATAATGCATGAACGCCAAATCATGAAAACCATAAGGTGTGATGATATGTCCTGACAGCTTGAGAAGAGGAAAAGTACATGCAAGCGGAATGAACCAAAACATTCTACTATTTTGCACATGGTCCCTCTCCCAGTCTTCCATCTCTTCGGAAAGTTTGTGAAACCCTTAAAGGCAGCGTACACCCAAAATTTGAGTTACCGAATTTCCAAGATTTTTCTACACCGTGTATATACTGGGCCCAGAAGAAGACCAACTGCGTTGGTCCGGTCTCCCAATGGCTTCTGAGCGGAGAAAACCCCCCTCAATTTTCTTTCATGCCGCCCCTTTTCTTTCGCTCCGCCTCCTCCGGACGAATCCATAACAGCGTAAGCTGCAATTGCAGTTGCAGTTGCTGTTGCAACATGCGTTGCATTTGTTTTGGGTGTACGCTGCCTTTAAGTGTTAGGAGATAGTGCGCCCCACTTGAAAAAACGGTGCTTTAATCGAAATGGCGATGGAGCGCACCTGCAACTCCTCCCAGGTCCGAGCCCTTTTACGGGCGTTCTCGCGCAGCCAGCCCGGTAGGAATATATGACGCCGCGGGAGACTGCAATTCAAAGTTGCAATGAGTGCCAAATCTGTTCTGTTTCGTAAATTGAAAGATGTAACTTGAGCAAGCGCAAGCGTCTATCTCACAAACAACAGCCGTCACATAACTGTGACGATGTCGGAATAAACTCATAGCAGCATTTGCATACCTCCTGTACACGGTTTATCAAAATTATATAGACGTTGTTTATCAAGTAAACTGACAAGTGGCAGAATGAATAAATCATTCGGGAATGATTGCAGATTGTGCCTAATTCTTGAAACATGTGCAAATTATGGATGTACTGAATAAAAATTCGAGCTATGATGGGATTTATTAACATAGTAGATAAGATCTATGGAGAAGTTAGATGCAGGAGCAAAAAAATGCAAGGCAAATGTACTTCATACCTTTACTTTTTTGCAAACATTATGGTTTGGCACATTCAGTAAACCACGTTGCGCTACTCTCAAACACAAAGCGCGCTTGAGATGGATCCGCCAACACACCTAACAGAAGGATGATGGGTCTAGAACGGAATAAAATAGGAAGGATAGCTAACCATGAACTGTAAGAAGAAAGTGCCGCTACTTACGGATTTCATGAAAACAGAGAAAACCAACCGATTCGATGACTTTGCGCACAAAGACACTTGATTGTCACCAGTGCGTGTTATCAATCAAATTCATTGAAATGTGTATGTATTCTCCAAACGTATCATCTATAAGTTCGGTTCTCAAAATCTAGTACTGTAGGTACGTGCGTCGTATAAATTCCCAAAATAGCGGCACTGCTTTCTAACAAAGTACGCATCAGCATACTCTAAAATCGTAGGAGACACAAAACATCTATCGCTCAAAATCTAGTGCAGCTGAAACAACTTCAAACTCATGTCACAAAACTATACTTTGTGGATGTCAAATGAATAAAGAAAAACGATGACACTTTTAATGTTCCTAGCAGAAAAAGAAGCGAAAAAAATCAACATGCGGGTTGATGTTAGAGCGGCGTTTGAATGGCGACCTTTACGTGCAATAAATTGTCGTGTGTGTGAGTGCACACAATCGCGCCCACTATGCCCATGCACGCGCGAAGAACGATTTCGTCGTCGCGATCTCGTCGCCCAAACCACCGATTTCCCCGGCGATGTCGCGGCGACGAAATCGTGGACACTATGCCCGTTCCCTTAGACCTCGGGCAGAATTGAGCGATTTGGTCGTCGCGATTCAATCGCTACAAGACAAATGTTACAAGTTCATTGCATGCCGATCTTCTTGCACTTCTGTTATGACAGTTTTCCGACACGACTAATCGTGACTAACTATCACAACCGAAATGCAAGCAGATCGGCATGCATTGATAATATTACAGTTTTGTCTAGACGAGATGAAACGCGACGGTGAAATCGCATGAACTCTGCCCGAGGCCTTAGGCCTGGGGCACAGTTCCGATTTCGTAGCCTCGCGATTCTCCCACCAAGAAAACTTATGACTCCATTACATGTCGATCACCTTGCATTTCGGCTGTGGTGTTTAGTCAGACTGGTCGCGATGGAAGATACTGTAACCGAATTGCAAAGGAATCGTTCATACACTGGACTCGTAACACCTGTCGCGAGGCGAAGTTGCGTGAACCATGCCCTAGGCCTTAGGCAATTGTACAGGGCATCTAACTTCTACATGTGCATATAATTTGCAGGTTTCCTAGTTCAAAGAGAATGGTAACTTCGCCTTTTCTTGGTGTAGGACCAACAATATTACACTATTCTTATTCTTAATCTTTGTGACTTTGATCTTAAGAGGGTGTACAAGGGACACGAAGCAAAAAATAACCATCACTTACCTATCGCGTATTTGCATTTCCACCTTCAAACCACGCCCACAGTTGCTCGCAGGAAGGCACGTCGTGTCCATCATAAGATTCAAAGAGTTCTGTAGTAATGCAATTACAGCAGCAGATTATAACTCGGAAAGTATGCGAACGATGATGTAACATGTGACTGCTTGCGCCGCCGTGCGCTTGCCCCAACGCGCGCAAGCGCTTAGAGGGGTTGGGTCCTGCAGCGCTAAGATGCCACTGTAATGAGCTCGCACTCGAAAGTTCGAATGTTTTCTCAATTTCGAAACCCGGGTGGAGGACATTAGGTCGCCGAAAGAGGGCGGTCTCCGCGATCATTTGCGACAAATACGCACCCTTGTACGTACGCGGGCATGCGTTCTTGCGGGGAATCCGCGCGGGACTCTTCTAAATTCGGCGACGTAAGGCTGCGCTCATACTGATTACGAAATCCGAGAACAGTCCCAGCACAACGCTCAGTTCGAGCACTGTGCTAGAACTGTTTCAGGATTTCGTAATCAGTATGAACGCAGCCTAATGTCCTCCACCCTCGAAACCCTACATCGAGATTAGATTCTATGGGAGTGCACACATGGGAGAAGAGGGGTGTGCAGCCGATGGGCTGCACCCCCGCGTATCTAGCACCAGCAGAGGTAAAGGGCGGTGACCTACAGGGTTCCGTGGACGACGACGCAATATGAACGCACCGATACATATCATCATCCCCGTGTATTTTTTCCGTATGAACCATAAACGTGGCTGCCTTTCGATTGTTTTAACTCATTAAAATCCCAACAAATTACGGCGTTTATTCGAAGTTGACATACTAAAATGATCGAAAGACAGCCATGTTGATGTTCATGTGGGAGCAATCTTGAGGGTAGCTTTTCCTATGGCCAAAGCTTACGAGAAAGTTATGGGGTATGCACCAAATATGCAGGGGTGCATATTTGTTGCACAGATACCAGCGCGAGGCTGCCTCCGGCGAGTGGCAGTGCATACTTCTTACAGTCGAGTATCGTTTGTTCCCTAGCAAGGTTCCCATAGGTACCACGTCATCTCGCTGCCTTTCGCACTTTTAAACGTGTCAACCTCGGGCAGTTCCGTTGAAATCTCAGGATAAACGTGTCAAAAAGAGTGAAAGGCAGTGTCGCACCACGTACGCACGCTGGTTCACATGGGAACCTCTCTGGGGCGCAGACGGTAAATTTCCGCTTAGTATAGTGTGGTTGCACTGTAGGTGAAATGCCGTAAAATTTGCGCGTGAACAAGTAGCCACGCCAGGGGGAGGGGCACGCGGAAGGCGACAATCGGCGAAAAATGGAGGCAGTGTATCATACGTCTCAATGACTTTCACGGATTTTTACGTGTGGCATTGAGTAATGTATCTGCCCCAGCCCCCACCCCCGTAGTCCTCCGGGGTGTCACTTTGACACCGGCGAGTTTCTGATAGGGACAGAACTGGGGATTGTCTCCTTCCACACCACACCCCCACGCCAGTAATGCCAGCCTGTTGCGCGCGCATTGGCCGGAGTCACAGGCGCAGCTATTTCTTCACGCGCAAATTTTACCGCAGTTCACTTCAATGCAAGCACACTATATTAAGCGGAAAACCTACACCACTGTACAAATGTCCGCGAACTTTTCCGAAACATAATGTCTCCTGGATTCCTAGTTTCTTACACTTCGCCTCTCGAAATTGCGTTGTTGCGGCTGTACGGATAAAAGAATCCTTTTCAAAGCAACAGCGTTGCGTGATGGGTTCCACTACGATGCGGACCCCAAGAACCAAAATCATAGATTTCGCTTGAACTTGTTCTACGGAAATCAATTGACATGCTGATAAAAAATGTCACAATTTTCCGCAAACAAAGTCTCTAAGTGGGGTCATAGTATGTACATTCATTCTCTAATTAGGAGACGCAAGCACGCTTTGCGTACAGTCGTCGTCAATACGCATTGGGCTTTTCTACCGTATCCCGAAAATCGCCCATCCGCCGTTAAAGGCAGCGTCCAGGCAGATCTGGACCTATGGGGCTTTTACGTGGAAAGTACTTTTGGGGCCCTAACTAAGGCACTGCCCAAGCAGCAGCTCAGGTAGTGCTGTAATGGCTGAGATATTCCCCTCGAAACTGCACCCCGCGACCGTGTTTCGCATGGATTCATGGCGCAAAGCGTGGATCCTGGCGCGAAACTGCCATGAATCCATGCGAATACGTTCGCGGGGGCCAGTTTCGAGGGGAATATCTCAGCCATTAGAGCACTACCTGCGCTGCCGCTTGAGCAGTGCCTTAATTAGGGCCCCAAATATACTTTCCACGTAAATAAAATCCCCATAGGTCCAGATCTACCTGGACGCTGCCTTTAACGAGTTCATGGATGAGATTTAACGCGTTTTGGTAAATTTGCTATTAGAATCCTTGGAAGAACGTGTTTGAGCTCTAAACCATGCTGACTTGCACATGTTCTTTTACGAATTTCTGATAGTAATCAACCAAAACGCGTTGGAACTCATTCACGAAAATGTTGGTCAGACGTAAGCAAAGCTTACTCGCGTCTTTTAGTCAGAGAGTGAATGATATAAATAATAAGGTTGGGCTAGGGAGCGTTCATACCCCCGGACTGATACTAGATTGATATAAAAGTTCTTGCGTAATTAAAATGCAATTGAATAACTTTCCAATTGCTGTCCCCAAATGAGTGGCGGCCCAAGAAATTATTTTCGGACGCACCTTCACTCGAGAATAATTTTGTTGAGGGGTGTCTTGTGTTGGAAAGGAAGTAGTTGCATCTTCGACGTGTGTCAAGACAGTGCCATGAATAAAGTTAAGATGCCGCTTTTTGGCATTTCGTAGGTTTTCGATTTGTCTTTGAAGTTCATCAGCCTGCTCTTTAGGAAGAATTTGAAGTTGGTTTTCCATCTCATCCAGCGAGTCTTGGGTAACTTCGAGGACAGGAATCGTTTTGAGTTGCGACAATCGTTCGGTGACCATAACCATGATACGCTTCTGTTCGGCTTTCTTGACATCTTCTAGCATCGAGCCAAGGATCTTCATGCGATCTTCTATGGCAGCGATGCGAGAGGAGTCTGGATTCACATACCTACGAACATGATAAGCCTCGTCGTACTTCTTCTTCAGCATCGCTAGTTCTGTTCGAAGTGTCGGAAGTTGGAACTTTTCGACATGCCTAATATTATCTTGGTTGGGCTCTCTGGATAGCAAATCGCAGATGGGTTTCAGCTCGGCGTTGAAGTGATCTACTGCGTCACAGAACAGATTCTCGTCCTCGATTTCAGCTGACATCTCATTCAATGCTTCATCATACTTCTCCATTTGTTGTGCGCCAACGTCGAAGAATCCAACGTCCGCATAAGCGCTGTCCAGAGGATGGAAAAGTCCAGGAATCTGTTGAGATTGACGAACTTTGTTGTTAACATTACTCGTCTTTCTTCTCTTCTCTGAAACTACATCGAAGTCCCTTTTAACGTCATTGATAGATCTTCTTGGTTTTGTCAGCACTTCGTCGAGCAGCTTTCGCAGATTGTTCAATTCAATTTTCGCTCCCTCTCTTATTCGCACAAATGCATCCCAATTCTTAACACGTTGCTGCAAGACTGGGATCATGATATTAGCGCCAGAGAGGGCTGTTCTGAGGACAGTTACAGAAAACTGAGATTTTGGTGCAACCTGCAGAAGAACTACGGCCTTCCTGCATACATCAGCCAACTCTTCTGCAACTTGTCTGTATTGTGCCGCTACTCCTTCTGCATCTCTTAAAAGCCGATCAGCATCGAGGTAGAGTTGGACTAATCGTGCGGATATGGTTTTGATGACCAGTTGTTGATCCGCTGTTCGTCCTGCAACTTCATCCTCCATTTTATTGAGACGGTGCTGAAAATACATTCGCTTCAACTTCTAACTTCAAAATGACATTTTAAACTCCAAGTTAAGCATCAAATTCAGTGAGTCGGATACATATTGGTAGCTTTTAGCGCGAGTACAGCAATCTGCAGCAGATTTTATTTACCTTTTTTTATAAGCAAGATGGCACTCGAAATTCTGCTTATGTCATGCTAATTTCCATCCCCTCTTCCAAACTTCTTAGAGCCGCATGCAGTAACATCCCCGCCGGGGAGTGGATCACAGGTTCAGAAAAGAGCTTCATATCCTGAAGCTCCAGTCTGGATTTCACGCTGTCTTCCTATCCGTAAGTACTCCTACCATTTTCACTATGAATATCTTGAGCGGGAGCAAAAAGATGTACAAGCCGCATTTTTCGGCTTTTTGTGTGATCCCCTGATGAAAAACGCGGCCGGACGTCTTCTGTTCAAATTCATTCTTCCTTTAAAACTGACGAAAACCTTCCAAAGTTGTACTGATTATCTATCCCAAAAGTGCTAAGCATGTTGCTGATAAGAACAAATGAGCCTTCAAAATGTCGATTTTTTCGATAAACCCTAACTTTCGACTTGTGGTTCATCGCGAATTTCAAGAATTCGAAACATCACTTGTTCCTATCAGAAACATGATTAGCACTGTTGAGTTAGATAAACAGCACAACTTTGAAATGTTTTTATTGATTTCGGAAAAAGAAAAATGATTTGCAAGACGTTGGGAAGCCAGGGATCATCAGGGGATCGAACAAAAAAACTGGAAAACGCGGCTTGTACAGCCTCTTGCCCCCGTTCAAGATGTCCATAGTGAAGGATGTGTGAGCACTTACGATTAGGTAGGCAGCGTGTTCAGATATCTGGAGCTTCAGTATATAAAGCTTTCTTTCAAGCTGTGATCCCCTCCCCGGCGGGGATGTTAATGCATGCGGCCCTTAGATAGGGTAAGAAACGTCTCTCCATGTATTCAACTCCACTAGCGAGACCCAGTCACTCAAGTGTTGATTTTTCCCAAGTAAACGGTAAGCTGTTGAGGTAGGACCGGTGTTGGGAACATACAGTGCTGGCCAAAACTATAATTCCACCCTAAAATCTGCCGTAACTCATCTGCTTCTCAACGATATGATCTGTCTGGTACAATTGTGTGTTTAACAGGCTACCATCAGTAGCCAGAACGGATCCCGTTTTTGTTTGATTATTCAGGAAAGAATCAAAAATTTCGAAAAAAGCAGGCTTGCAGGTTGGCCAAAACTATAATCCCACCCAAGGTTTCTGCCCACTAAAGTAATTCTCGGCTTCCAAAGTATTTTGTGCATATACATAATCAAAATTCAAAACAGTCGTTTCAGTCCAACTGTGTCATACCTTTATAAGAAACGTTTATCTGCTTTTTTTCGAATATACTTTCATGCGTACTTCGTTCCCAAGAATGTGTTTTTATGGGTGATCTCGCAGTTTTTTTGACTGGTTTGGAAGCGATAGGGCACCACCTACCTTATAGATGCTTAGCGAAGCGAGTACTAGAAAAATATCGGAGTTTTACTTTCAAAGCGCACCCGAGTTAGACTTACAGCAAGCCTGCGCTCAAATTTTTGCCTCCAAAATTGGTTTACGTCATTTTTGTAAGCTCAAAATGATGTAAAGCATCGTTTACATGAAAAGAAGTTTGCACACTATACTTGCGGTTGTTGGCCAAGTCACATTTTGCTTCGTTTTCAAAGCATAAATTTTCGCGTTTCAATGATAATATTTAGGCAATCCCAAAATACTTACCAAGCGGTACCTTTCCTGATTTTTTGCCACTATTTAGCTTCTAGATAGTGGAAACCCCTGCATTATATGATGCCTTATGACTCACTTGAGCATTACGATCAGAACCAAGAATAAGTTCAGGCTTCTTGTAAATCAGTTTTTGCAGGATGAATTCCCCAATTAGCCTGGATGCTAAGAAGTGCGGAAATCTGCAACCACTGCATTCGGACTCTCATACGTACAAACAATGTTATTACTCCACGCTCATAAGAACATTGCAGAAGGAGTTGAGGGCATAAATTTGAGCGCAGGCCTGTGGTTCGCTCTATGTCGGGTGCGCTTCAGATATGAAAAGTCCGATTTTTTTCTAGTTCTCATTTCGCTAAGCATCTATAAAATAGATGCAGCCCTATCACTTCCAAACCAGTCAAAAAACTGAGAAATTACCCATAAAAACACATTCTTGGGAACGAAATACGCATGATATATTTAAGCGAAAAAAAGCAGATAAACGTTTCTTCTAAAGGTATGACAGACTGAAGCGACTGTTTTGACTTTTGATTATGTATATGCACAAAATACTTTGGAAGCCGAGAATTACTTTAGTGGACAGAAACCTTAGGTGGAATTATAGTTTTGGCCAACCTTGCCTGCTTTTTTCGAAATTTTTGATTTTTTCCTGAATAATCAAACAAAAACGGGATCCGTTCTGGTTACTGATGGTAGCCCGTTAAACACACAACTGTACCAAATTTCAAATCAATTCGTTGAGAAGCAGATGAGTTACGGCAGTCAGGGTGGAATTATAGTTTTGGCTAGCACTGTATGTGTGCGTTTGGCACTGATCGGTCCACGCACAAAAATTTCCATAACACGCACTAACTACCAATGTACAACACTCAGTTTTATGTATCGTGTATCCTCCGGAATTGTTCTCAAGTACCACCAACAAGGCTGCCTTCCGATCGTTTTAACATGTCAACACCGAAAAAACGCATCAAATTCGCCGGAGTTAACGTGTTAAAATGATCGAAAGGCAGCCACGTTATAGGGGGACGGTCAACGGCGCGATTTCTCCGCCTGTCATCAATCAAAACTCCAAATTATTATGCGAGTCTTTAGAAAGTCCCAGATAAAGTGCACTAGTTTACTACCTCTCTGAGGTCACCACTTGCTGAGTTTCATGGTTTTCGCTATGAAATGGACTGAAATATTTACGAATTTGTTCTTAAATGAGTTTTCATGGGTTTTTGACCTTCAAAATCGCTATTTTGAGTTCTTCCCAAATTATTGTGATTGAACAATCCATGCAAGTACATATCTAATATATCTTCTTCTAAATTTCATATACTCTTAGAAAGTTGTAAAACACTCAATAGGTGCGATTTGGTGTCCAGCTGGCAATAAAAATCGCGCCTCTTGACATACACCCCGTTAAAGGCAGTGTCCGGGCTAAAACTCGATTTCTAAAAAATCCACTTGCCGGGGTTATCCGCAGCGCTGAATCCGAAAATCCACATTAGAAGGGCTGAAAACGGCGAGAACATACGTTTTCCAAAGACGCACGATTTGAGTCGACGGTCCCCACAAAGGCAGAGGCTCAGAGTCTCTGCGGGACATTACATTTCAACTGTGGCGGCATGCGTACTCTGCCGCTTAGGGATCTTCGTACCGCGCACAAAGGCGGACGAAGGCGGATGAAGCTGGACGAAGGCGGACGAAGGCGGACGAAGCCGGACAAAGCCGGACAAAGGCGGACGAAGGCGCGTCTTGTCTCGTCTCGTTTCTCTCGACACACACATACACACACTCACACACGCCTCGTCTCGTTTCTCTCGACACACACACACTCACACATGCCTTCGTCCGCCTTTGTGCGGCTTCGTCCGGCTTTGTCCGGCTTTGTCCGGCTTCGTCCGCGTTCGTCCGCCTTTGTGCACGGTATGAACGATCCCTTACAGAAATTCGGACAGCTCGGAGGATCAAGGCGTAAGTTTCCTTACCGGTCATTTTTCTTGCTTTAAGTCGATCATTATGACGTCGCACTTGTTGTGTCTGAGGGGGGCCACTTTCGCATGGCACTCAAATCCCAAAACCCCCATGTTGCCTGGACGCTGCTTTTAATGGTACCTATGGGAACAACTCCGGAGGATGCACGGTTATGCATAAATTGAAATAGTTTTGAAAATATCTTGAGAATCAGAATAACTTCAAAAATATTTTTTGGGACATGACTGCCGCCGCCCTTCTCTGAGTCATAGGCTTGATGCATACCTGGCGTCGGGAGTCTATACGTAGCAGTGGCAGCAATGCGATTTGTGCGTATTGATTGCAGCGGAGTGACGCTGCTGCCTCCCGCTGCAGCAGCTAACATGGAAGGTCGTGTCCATACCTAGTGAGTCATTTTTGAGCGGCGCTGCGCAGCGCTGCTCAAGCTGATCAGCCTGCAACGATATTTGCAGCTGAGTTACGCTCACTTTTTCTGAGCGTATCTCAGCTGCTATGAGCTGCAAACAGCTGTTTTGGCTCGAAATTACCTATTTTTAGGGCCGCATGCACTAACATCCCTGCCGCTAGGGGAGCGGCGTCCCCAATGATGAAAAAGCCGCAGCGGCGTCCACACGCGGTCCCTTCATAACGAGGGATGCCGCTCCCCTCGCCGCAGAAATGTTAGTGCATACGGGCCTTAGGAATTTTCAAGCTCTGACTAGCGTTCTGAAAACAGAGTTCATCTTTATATTGCGTGAGCAAGTCATGAATGCAACCTAATACCGTTTAATTGGGGTTTCAGAGGATATGGGGAAATAAGAGATATTAAGACGCACTGGAGGGACATACTCCATGAACTTGAAGAGAAATGAAGTAATTGACTGACTACACACTGGCAATAATTCGAAAAGCTGACAGCGTAATCAGATACAATTTGGCCTCCAATGGACTGCAATCATGTCATTGCCTGAGGGACATTTCATACTACTGGGACAGCCATTGCCTTATCAGGGGTCGAATGGAATGAATACACTTGAATTGCTCTTTTGAGTTTGCTCGTATGAGCTACCTTTCTGTTCTAAATTTAGTGATGAAAAATGAAAAATGAAGAACTTCTCATAAAAGTGTGGATCAGATCCAACTAATATGCTAATTCTCTTTTTGACGTAATAAAACTCGACATTAGCGCAGTTATTTCTGATGGTTTCTGCACTCAACATGCACTCAAGAAGCAGCCGAGCGCAGCGCTGATCAGCCGGAGCAGCGCTGCCTTCGCTGCTCGCTGATTTTGTCCATACCTAAGCAGCGAGGTATGTATCAAGCCATATGCCCGTGAAAAACGCCTCGGAAAATCTCACCAAGAAAAAAATTTTTTTTGAAAGATGCTACTAACATCACATCAATTAGTTTAATCATAGAAAGAATTCTTAAGATGTCGTGAAGCCGAAGTCGAACATTCAACTGCCACCGTTCCCCGAATTATCTGCCAACATCTGCTTGGTTTCTGCACAGCCATACAAGTGATCAAACACAAGCTCTTGCGCCGAAGAAAATATTGTAAAACCTTAGAAGGTCAGCCACATCGCGAATCTTCGCTTAGTCACGTCATGTAAACAAAGATGCAGCAAACACGCTAAAAGCGTGAATTGCTGAAGCGTAATTGTAAAGAGAAAGTAAGCTATAATACAAGATGGACAAATCTAATTGTAAGGAAATTCTAGGGAGCCAGGTGCGCATAATCGGCGGCAGTTTCGCTTTCACTAACAGTCATTAGTGGAAGATTGTATTATAGATACCCTCCACATCATCCCATATGTCTTCCCTCAACATGACGTGGATTACGTGGCTTGATGAGGCGCCGCCTCGCCTCGGGCTTGCGCCACGTTGCGTGCGCATTTTCGGCGTGATGTGGCGCCCAACACAACGTGGCGCAGGCTTTTCCACGTTCTTCTTGTTGCCACATCACGCCGAAAATGCGCACGCAACGTGGCGCAAGCCCGAGCGAGGCGGCGCCTCATCAAGCCACGTAATCCACGTCATGTTGTGGGAAGACATATGGGATGATATCGAGGGTATGTCATCCGCATTTAGATTTTTCTGTGTAGAATCGTTGAGAAACAGACTTGCTGCAAAAGTCGGAGCATTCAGTATCATGAATTTCATGAGCTGCTCTTTCTACTTGACGAAGTCTGTGTCATTGAGCTCTTCTATGAAAAGTTTTGATTTTCGAAAAAGCAATACAACAAGACAAATTTCATTCATATCGGCATTTTCGAAAATCATAACTTTAGACAGAAACGCTCAGTGGACACCCAAACGGAAAGAGGTCATAAAATTCATAATACCGATTACCATGATTTTTAATGCTTTCAAATTTTTCGCAACCCTACAAGAAAAACAAAATCTGAGTAATATTTGCACAGCTTATGTCTCTGCATTGACGCTTGATAGAAGGATCATAAAGGCACCATCCACCCAAAATTTCGACCTCCATGTTTTTGCCGTTTTAGGGCCTTCTCATACCCCTGATTCCGAATATCAAGTTGAAAATCCGCGAAAACCACGAAAACCCCCGTTTTCAGAACCCGCAGAGCGATTTCTTCGGTACGTGATTGGTTGGGCGTGCACGGATGGGCGGGACGAACGTCACGCCCACTCCGAAAGGGGAGGAGCCAGCGTCGCGAAGCGGCCTGAAGCGATTTCCGAAGCAATTTTCTCGGTTCGGAAGCAACTTCAGGCAGCGCGAGTAGGGCAATCGTTTAGTTGGAAGCTCCGCATCTGCTAAGTATCATAATCTCACCAACCCCAATTTGGGTGGACGCGGTGCCTTTAAAGGTGCCGTCCACCCAGATTTACGACTTCCACGTTTTTGTCGTTTTAGGGCCTTCTCATGTCCCTGATTTCCGAATATGAAGTCGAGAAACCGCGAAAACCCGACAATCCCCGTTCCGGAGAACCCACAGGCCGGCTATTCGGAACGGTGATTGGATGGCGCGCACAAATGGTCGGGCGTGAATGGGGGTCCTCGTGCATCTTTGCTATTCCAAAGCGACTTTCTTGCTTCCGAAGCGGCATTTTGCGCCGCGACTTTGGCACTGAATTGATAGGGGGCCCTACTATGCTGCCAAAAGCTCAACACCCTCAAATTAGGGTGGACGGTGCCTTTAAAGTGCTACTGTAAATCGCATGATCTCCTTTTACTACCAAGTTCGAAAACTCCGAAAAAATGAAAAGTTACGAATATCTGGAAATGGTGCAAACGAACTTTTGGGATGACTAACCATGTGGTTTATCGGCTTGGTGGGTAATCTCAACTTGTTTTTTATAAGGATGCCGAGGCTCCGATGAAAATGCTAAAGCGCTCGTGACATTTCGCGACAGAACATTGCAAAACTGGCACATTAAAACAACTTTTCATCGAAGGAAAGAAATAAAAAATGGACACTAGTCAAAAGAATTCCAAATATTCCTGCGTTGTTATTCAAATGCTTCCCGATCATAAACGATAAACAATAAATTGGAGGATTTAGAAACGAAAACAAAAGTGAGCGAAGATACTCCGTAAAACTTTATTTCGATAAAGGAGATGGCAATAAGACTGCGGGATTGTTTACATTCTTCTTTTACGCAATAAATGAGTAGAAACCATCAAAGTTCTAGAATCTTGGCAATGTTAATAAGAAGCATGCACAATTGTTAAATGTTACACAAGAATAAAAGATATTACAACGATACAATGCGTGAGATTTGCTTTGTTTGATTAGAAACTAATGCATGAATATATACAATATACAAGAGTTGTAAGAACTGTACAGCTGCAACGAAACAGGCATACGGCTATTCTGTCAGTCGTCCCCCGTAGTTTTAGCTGCAAATGCAAAATGAATGTTCAAAGAATAAAGTAATAAACATACCGGCTCATGCTAACATGCTCATAGTCAAGAAGTTGCTTCTTCAAATACGCTTTGAGCTTATCAAAGAGCAAGTTATTACCATACAACTGCACATCAAACTCGCAGCCAACAATAATACTAGCTAAATCAAGAGGTCTAGGAGGATAAAACCGAAAGTAGTGATAAACCTCCTTGATATTATTTCTATCATAGAAAACGGAATTCTTTGCGGCTCCTCCGAAAAGTATGCTCTTGACAGCCAACTATTGTAAATCTGCAATTAGATAATGCCTGGAATTAGTGTTAAAGATGATCGCAACTCACTTTTGTAAAAAAATGGGATGCGAACGATGAGACCACGGTTCCCAAGGATTTGGTAGGTGGAAGCACGAGGTCGACAAATATATCGTGTGCTGAGAAGAATATATATTTAGCACCATACCATATAGTGTGGAACTTCTTCGAGAATTTGTGTACATTGAGTGTTTCACATACAAACAGCTGCAATAATCAAATGAACTGGAGAAGATTACCTTAACATTCAATGCAAACCTCTGGAAAATCGTTATATTCTGGCTTGCATTCTGGGTTACGCTTTCTTGCTTTTCTTCTGCGTGCTACGGAGATTCGCCTTTCGTTAGTTTGTTTACTGCACTTCTATAATGAGCTAAGTTGAATCGAAAAGATCAAGCCTTTTTTGGCGGAAAGAGGCCCCATGACCTGATGTCCATGGACCCCGATCGTCGTATTTCGGACGAACTGCATCGTGCCTGCATGCTTTCGCGCGAGGACCCACGGAAACTGAGATGTCGCAGAATGAAACCATGCGAACAAGAGGCAAGTCGTCCGTTATTACGATCCTGGGGTCCAGTTTGGGGGGAGGGGGAGTTTAAAGGCAGTGGACAGGCAAAATGGACCCCTGTCAGATTTTGGTAGTTTCGGGTAGTGGACCCCCCAAGTACACCGTAGCCCCAACCCCAACTTCCAATTGATGCGCTAAGTCCTGAAAAAAGCGCTTCAAACTTCCACCAATAACGCCCACTCAATGCAAGTGGGCGGGGCTGGTGGAGTTTTGAAGCGCTTTTTTCAGGACTTAGCGCATGAATTGGAATGTGGGGTTGGGGCTACGGTGTACTTGGGGGGTCCACTACCCAAAACTACCAAAATCTGACAGGGGTCCATTTTGCCTGTCCGCTGCCTTTAAGGGCAAATATCTCAGCCGTGGGTGTACCATATGAGCTGCCGCTTAAGCAGTATCTTAGTTAGGCTCCAAAACTACTTTCCGCATGGAATCCTCGTATGTCCAGAACTGCCTAGACGCTGCCTTTGGGCCTAAGGCATGCTCATCGCAATTACCTCAAGTCGCCACATCCACGCGATTAGGCGTGCCAGATGTCTACAGATCAGTTGTGCGCTAGTGTCAACACAGGCGCGAAGCTTTTATGAGTCTTCGCAAAAGTCGCTTAGGATGATCATGAAGAGTTGTTGCAATCCCAGATAGCGACTGGAATCGCATGAAATGCCTTAGGCCTTAAAGGCAGTGTCCAGGCAAATCTGGGCATATGGATTTTTCGACTGGAAACTGATCGAGAGATTCCAGCTAAGGCACTGCCCAAACCGTAGCGCAAGCTATTCATTCACAGCTGAAAAATCTGTCCCCAAACACTCCGCGACTGCGCCTGACCGTAACACTTAGCATGGATGCGCGAACATATGTTAAAGTGAGCGAAGTCGTTTTTGGGATACGGTCACGGCACAGGCGCGGGGTTTTTCGGGAACCGATTTCTTTGATGAACTATTTGCGCCGCCCCTTGGGCATGCCTTAGTTAGGCTCCCCTCATCAATTTACAGGCGAAAAACCCATGCGCCCAGATTTAGCTGGACACTGCCTTCAAAGGCAGTGTCCAGAGTCGATCTCAAAACTTTTGTACTCACTTGGCTATTTGCTATGTTGAATCCGAAAATCCACACTGGAGAGCGCAAGAATGGCGAAAAAGGACTTGATGGAGGAATGCAGCGGTGAGCAAGATCTTCCCCACTGTGCATTCACGGACTTCCGGAACGATCTTCTCGATTCTGCTAGCGGCCCTGACATCGCCACCAGCCACGTGAAAACGCATGACTAGAAATCGGAACCGAGAAGCTGGGAGCGTGAATTCACGGTGAGCCAAACCCGCCCACCTGCGTTTCCCCTCCTGCGTTAGAGCCCCTTTTCACCGTTTTCGCGCTCTTTAGTGTGGATTTTCGGATTCAGCATAGTGAATAGACCCGAGTAAGCACAAAATCTCAAAACCGACTTTATGCTCGAACACTGCCTTCAATAAAAGATGCATTATTTTTCAGAGTTAACCTACCAAGCAAAATCGAATGCAACAAATTTCTAAAACCACTACAGAGCAACAGTAGCAATAATCAACAAAAAATTTTCCAAAGAATTTCTGCTTATTTACACCTATGAGAAATTCTAATTACGATCTTGATTGAATTTCGAATCAGTCAAACAGTCTTCCGCATAAAAATGTCAACGTGATAGCGCTTCCAAATTTTCGACAAAGTCTAGGCACTAAGTGCGCGGCGGTGACAACGATTTTTGGGGGAGCGGGAGTGGCTAGAATTCTTCTGAATGAAAGGGCAAGGTAAATGCCACGGCCACCCCTCTGGAAAAATTTGCCTACAAAAGTAATTTGAAATTCTAGAGATCCTGAAATTTACTTCGACTACTCAAAAGTAAAAGAAGTTTAGGCAGTTTTACATTTCATGTAGCATACTTTCAAAGGTTTTGTAGTCAACAATAAACAAAATGCTAAAGCTCACACTAGTAAGCTTCTTCCTATTAAGCAACTTCAGCACTTCATTACGCAGATCCTCCAGAACACTTATTGCCTTGATCCCGTCCAACTGTGCTGAGGGCCACATACATTAACATTCCGCTGGGGAGGGGAACTCAGCTTAAAAGAAAGCTTATATCCTGAAGCTCCACTGTTCTGAGTTTCACGAGGGCTGACTATCGACAAACGTTCCTACTACCTTTACTATAAACATATCAAAGAAAGCAACAACTTGTACAAGCCGCATTTACTAGCTTTATACACGATCCAGTGGCGTACCCAGGATATCCATTTCGGGGGGGGGGGGGGGGGCAACAAAAATTTTTTCTGATAAAGGTGCATGGCGTAAACCATCCAGCTAAAAAAATTTTTGGTATGCAAAGCAAGCTCTACAAGATGGCAATCTTGCTTTAGCGACAGTTCTGATCCACCTCCAGTTTCGAGCCAAAGACTATAGAGATTCAATTGCTTGAAAAATTGAGAAAAATCGTAATTCACTTTGTAAAAATCCTACAAAAATTTTAACTTGCCCACTTAGGCCCGTATGCACGTACGTCCCCGCTGGGGAGGGGAGGGGAGCTGGATCCCCAGGGGAACGATCCCCTCCGCAGAACCCCGCCATGACAGAGGGGAGGGGAGCGATCCCCTCCCCAGCACCTAAGCGGGGATGGTGTGAATGGTTTCAGAGGTATTGATCGAGCGAACCCCAGTGCATACGGGGTTCGAATGGGGGAGGGGATCCCTTCCCTTCCCCCACTCGAACCCCGTATGCGCCAATTCAACTCACTAACGCGGGGGAGGGGATCGACATCCCCTGCAACGAAGTAGGGGTTCGATGGTGTAGATCATGCCAGAGACGCGGATATTCTGGTTCTGCTCAGTCATTACCAAGCATTTCGTTCATTTTGATGGAGGATTTTCTTTGAAAGCCGAGTTCTTCTCTCAGCGACCTGTGGCTTGCAATTTGTCTTTCTTTTCTATATTCGCCTCTTGAGAAAAAAATCCGAGCAATAATAGCTGCCAATTTCGATTATTTGTAGGAGTTCTTGATCATTCAGAAAATTTGCGCATTTTTCATATAACATAATAGTTTTAACTACATAGACTGAGTAAACACATTGTAACTTTCATATTTCATGACATGTTGCCATTATCTTGTTATTTTAACATAAGCTGCCTCGAAAAAATCTAGAAAGTAGCATATTTGCCTAGTTCTGAGTAGAAATCCCCTGGGGAGTGATCCCCTCCCCAGCGTTCCCCTTGTGCATAGCAGGGATGGCTGCTGGGGATCATTCCCCTGGGATAAAGCACGATATGCAGCTGATAGCTACAGCGTTTATGGAGAGCTGGCACAATTTGCAGCTTCTGTTATGTGTTAGAATACTTCTTTGAGCGTCCGCGCGGCACCCCCCCCCCTTTTCGGCAGCATAACGTCTTCTACCCATTCCCTTGCAGAGGCACATCAACTTCTATAGTTCAACATTTTTACACTGAAATGGGGCAGCATGAGCGAAAGTGGGCAGCATCCAAGAAAGCAGGAACATAATGGGAGTAGAAAAAATCATTTTTGGTGCCCCGAGCGCAATCACCGCATACGCGCATTCCGCAACCCCAAATTATTGAAAGTGAGGAGATGAAGATGAGTTGCAGTCAGAATATGAAATAATTTTCATAGAAAATTTGAAAGCAAGGTGATCTCCCCGCTTGATCCCCTCTTGTGCATAAGGGGGTTCACTTCCCCTCCCCACAGGGGATCCCTTGTCCGATATTGTCTTTGTGCATACGGGGGTTCGCGGGGGGAGGGGAGGGGACCCCCAGCGGGGATCATTTCAATGGTAAAACGCACATCCCCTCCCCGCGGGGATGTACGTGCATACGGGCCTTAAACACTGTCTACATAAGGCAACTATATGCTCCGCTACCGTATTTTTTCCCTGTTGAAAATCAAGAAAACAATCTTCGTACATTTGCCAAAGTGGTGCTGTGCTGTCCCCACATAGGTGATTGTATACTACAAACCTGTAGAAGTACAAATGTAGATTTTCAGCTCTGGGCAAGCTTTGGTTCTCGAGATATCGAATATAGCTTTCCCTAGTCAGGGGGTCTAAACTAGAATTCATTGTCTCAGAACTATAGCTTGTAAAGAGCTGAAAATTTATATTTGTACTTCTACAGGTTTGTAGTATACAACTACCTATGTGGGGACAGCACAACATCACTTTGGCAAGTGCAGAAGGTTTCCGTTTTCCTGAGCTCGAACAGAGGAAAAAATACGGCAACGGCGTATACAGATATCTTATGTAGGAAGTGTTTACGTGGGCAAGCTAGAACTTTGTGGGACTTTATGAACTGAGTTAGATTTTTCTCGATTTTCGGGCAGTTGAATTTTTTAGTTTTTGGCTCGAAACTGGAAGTGGATCAGAGCTGTTCTTAAAGCAAGATTATTTTGTAGAGCTTGCTTTGCTCTGTCAAATGGTACTTTGCGTACTATTTGGAAAATGAGAAGTGGAACTGCGTTTGGAATTCAAAACGGGCATTAATTTCCGGACAACCCAATGCTGAATTGCTGAACTGAATTTTTAAAGAACTTTAAGAATTATTTTAATTACTTACAAGTATAAATAAGTCACTTACACATTTTTATAACTCGTGTAAGTAACTAAGCAACTGTAAGTACCGTATAACTCCCCCCGCCCCTCCTCTCCCCCCTCGATACGCCACTGATATGATCTGATGATGCCCGCGGCCGACCGTCTCTTCCTCAAAGTCATTTTTCTTTCCTCTAACTCGATAAAAACGTTTCAAGCACGTTAGTTACCCCAACAGATTGTATGCTTTTGATATGGAAAACAGAAGTATCGGAGTTGTGAAGATCTCGGAAAAACAAGACAAAACTTGCGAGTTTTCCGAGATGTTACCCGAACCTCAATACTTTAAACTAATCTACTCTTTCAGAAATGTTCAGCACTGTTGGGCTACAATTAGTACAATTTTGAATCTCACTTCGAAGAGATGAAAACACTGAAGACAAGACAGCCGTCGGAATGATTATGGATCTTACAAAAAGCTGAAAAAGGCGGCTTGTACCACTTCCCACTCCTGATCAATACGTTTATAGTAAAGGGTAGTAGAAACACTGCGAATAGAGATCAAATGAATTGCACAACACTGGAGCTTCAGAATATGAAGCTTTGCCTAAGCTACACTTCCCTCCCCAGCGGGATTGTCAAAGCATGCCGCCCACAAAAATTCGCGACGTCATTCACAAGAAGGAATATTACCGCATTTCCTTCCCAGAAATACAGCTTGAAACCGGAAACTTGACCTACTGCTTGAAAATGTTTGCAGATTTTTTGAGGCTTAGCAGCGGCACTCCAGTAGCACTCCTTTCACGCCCTTACCCAAAATCACGAAATTCGAACCGCTTTCAAAAATTGTTCCTCCAGGGCTAACAAACGAAAACTTGCGTTTAGCTATGCGTCGCAAAGCGCGAAATTTCTATTTATTGGATTCAAGCAAATCTTGGCCTAAGGATTGAAATTATTGACTCTTCTCAATTACGCAAATTCTGCACCAACCTATTATTTCAGTCATAGATTAAGGACCAAGTGCTTGAGTTTATGTCTCAACCTTACCAGGTGAGATCTTGCGAACCATCCACGTGGACTGTTAGAGAATTGGGCAAGCAGTCTGCTTTTGCTTCAAGATAATCGAATATTGATCCTTCTTCTAATCTCTAAAAACTTTTTTTGGCTGCCCCGTCGTCCCTTATTCTTGAAATTCCAAGGTGTCCGGCAAGCAAAAATTTCAGAAAGCATCCCAGAATTTTTCAATCAAATGTTTTGTTGTTGCCTCCTTCCTCTCCTCCAAAAAAAAATCTTGAAGCGCCACTGTTAAAGGCACCGTCCACCCAGATTTTCGGCTTCCACGTTTTTGTCGTTTCAGGGCCTTCTCATGTCCCTGATTCCGAATATGAAGTCGAGAATGCGCGAAATCCCCAACAATCCCCGTTCCGGAGAACCCACAGGTCGGCTTTCCGGAACGGTGATTGGATGGGCGCGCACAAATGGGCGGGCATGGATGGGGGAGGGCGGGCATGGATGGGGGAGGGCGGGCATGGATGGGGGTCCTCGTGCATCTTCGTTATTCCGCAGCGATTTTCTCGCTTCCGAAGCGGCATTTTGCGCTGCGACTTGGGCATTGGAATGATAGGGGGCCCTGCTATTATATGCTGCCAAAAGCTCAACACCCTCAATTTAGAGTGGACGGTGCCTTTAAGCGCCATTTCACTCAGCGCTTTTTGTCAGAGCCTGTTAGAGAACCGGTCCAACCACAGAGCTAACGATAGCTCCAATTAAAATATAGTAGTTCCATAGACACATTGCCTACCGTATCAACCTCGTTTGGAAGCTGATCCAATTGTGAACTGGTTGCACATGCGTCGTTCGCAATCTTGTCTACATCCTCAGCGGCCTGTAATAAGTAAAAATAGAACATCCTCTAAGTGATATAACCTAACCTTCTCTTGCGTATTTAAAGACATTTTTCCTCTTCCTTGTATCTCCTCCTGCTCAAATTCCCTTCGAGCCATACCTTCACACAAGTGAGGGCCATTCTAAAAAGTGGATCACATGTTTACAGTCATTGTCATTTGCCCACTACCTCTGTAGAAGCAACTTCCGCGTCATTTGCTGATCCAGATAAACAAAAACAAGTCTGCGAAGACTCAGATACCATCTTAGCTGAAACAACTGAGCAGCACTCCTACGCTTTATTCAGCAAATACTGTTCTCAAACAAAACCTTTGAGGGTAGCTGGACACGTTTCAGAGTTGAGACGCTGAAACAACGTCTCCAAAAGAAGTGTTCGAAGTTCTTGAGGAGCGCTCTCCATACGAGAATCCGTCAGCATCGTGCGAACGTCGTTGACACTCTGCAGCGCTGCCAGGCAGTCGTTCTCAAAGTGAAGAATGTTTCAAGAATAGTTTGAATATATAGGAGAGCCAACCTCAAGAGCAGACATTTTGTAGGTGATGGCAAAGACGAATCTACCGAAGACATCAAACGATCGCCGAGCTCCCTCAGTTCTAAGAAAAGTTTCACATTTCCAAATGATATGTTCCACACCCAAGCGAAAAGCTGTCGCAAGCAGGCTTTCCACATTTTCGTCTACAAAAAGTAAGCGGTGACAAATATAGAATTATAAAAATAAAAACACATTAAAAATGAGGTTGTGCTTACTAGTGACTTCTGCAAATGGTGGGTGAATGGCTTTCAGAAGAGTAATAAAGTCTCCAGCGCTGACACCTCTCAACAGATATATCCCATCTTCTTGACACACGGTTGAAGGCGACGTCGTCACATCGTCATCTAAGAGAGATGATCAGCGCTGAGCGTGAAAATGATATAACTATGAATAGTGACAGTAGGTTGCAAAATTAAGAAAGACATCTTTTTCTCATATAGCCCTGTTGCACAAAATGACGGAAATTCTGATAAAAGCTACTTGTATTAGGAAATTTGAAGTTTCAAATTTTGATAAACCAATTTTGAGGGCGTTTTTTTTCAAAACTATTTTTTTCGAGAAGACTATTTTTTGAGTCAATGAACCAATTGCAGTCAAAATGTCACAAGTAGAAAGAAAATCAGGTTTGTGTAAAGATGCAATATGCAGTCTCTCATAATTCCAAACTATTCTATGTAGTTTAAATTTTGAGACCTTTGTGAAATTTCATATGCTTGGACAAAGAAACCTGTGTCGGTGATACTTCTGAATATATACAAAACAAAAGTTCGTCAGTATCCAGTTGAGACTGAAATTTTATTCTCGGAATGGTACTACTTTCTACGAACAAAGTCCCAATATTTTTATCTTATATATTAGGTTGAACACTAAGTTTTGCAACTTGTTTCATAACTTCACTCTCATTCAACATGGCGCACTCAAACTTTGGCATCATGTAGAATGCAATGTGAGCTACAAGCGAGCACAAATTGTCTGAATTTTGAATACGAAATAGAAAAGTTTCAGGCATTTTTCGAAAACTAGTGAAATTTGAGAATTTTTGGGGTTTCTAGCTAATGAGGCCTTTGGCAGCCTAGAACATGCGCAGTAATCCGGATTCGTCTTCTCTCTTCGTCTTATTGCTAAAGGTTGACTCCTTTGGCCTATTAACCCATTGACGACGATGTGGACCACCGGTGGCCTGCGCGCTTTTTGCTGCCATGGACGATGTGGACCTCCGGTGGCCCACACCTCTCGCAAATCGTATTATTTGCAGGTCTAGTATTTTTTCCACATATGAATATTTTTTCCAATTTTTTGTATTCTTAAGAGCTATAGGCTCTGTCGCTCAAGAAAATGTTAATAGTTGTTTACAAAACAATGTTGCATTTCGTAAATAAGCACGAAACCTTCCCACACCGAAAGTGTTGTGCAAAATCGCGTCGTCCCATAGCGCCGCCGCGCAAAATTAGGCGTCGTCGTCAATGGGTTAGGAAAGAAACAAAATTTAGGCATGTGGAGATTTGGCGTCCTCATAAAATCGAACGAGTCGATGTACGCAAGAGCTGCTGGGGACGACCGTCAATGACTAAAGAGTCCGAAGGTCAAATTCCGCCGAAACTTTAATAGCAAGGTTACTTGACCTGCCAAACACGAATATCACATTCATTTGTTAAATCAACGCCTTTTTCCTTGTTTAGGGTGAGACCCCATATCGTACATCTACAGTAATCCTACAAAAGAACCCCCTTATCACGCAATTTTACTATCGTTTTCGTGATCAGCATGTCGGATAACACCCCTATGCCAAGTTTCAGCTAAATCCGTCAAACTTTGAATTTTTCTCCTTCATACCATGCACCTACCGTAACCCTCACTGCGACGTCCGAATTTGGTAGGACAGCAGCTGAGCTTGTAGCTTACCTAACAACCAATGCAGTGCCAAAATTTGAGTGCGCCATGTTGAGTGAGAGGAAAGTTATGAGACTAGTTGCAAAACTTAGTGTTCAACCTAATATAAAGCTGAATGTGTGTCTGTATGTCTGTCTGTCTGTCGAGCATGGGGATTCCGAATACAATATTGGTTTTCAGGATTATCGATTACTTTTATCGATTTTATCGATTTTTTGCAAAGTTTGAGCTACGGGGCTGGGAGTTGGCACAGGGGGGTAATCGAGCATGCTGATCATCCCAAGGGGGTGATCAGCATGCTCGATTACACCCCTGTGCCAAATTCCAGCCCCCTAGCTCAAATTTTGCAAAATCGATAAAATCGATAGAAGTAATGGATAATTCCAAAAACTAATATTGTATTCGTAATCTGCATGCTCGATTACCCCCCTGTGCAAACTCCCAGCCCCGCAGGTCAAACTTTACGAAAAAATCGATAAAATCGATAAAAGTAATGGACGATCCTGAAAACTAATATTGTGTTCGTAATCGGCATGCTCGATTACCCCCCTGTGCAAAATCCCAGCATCGCATGTCAAAATTTACAAAAAATCGATGAAATCAATAAAAGTAATGGACGATCCTGAAAACTAATATTGTATTCGGAATCCCCACGCTCACTTCCCCCCTGTGCCAACTCCTAGCCCTGTAGGTGAACTCTGCGAAAAAATCGATAAAAATCGGTAAAATCGACATCGATCGATAACGAAAAGTGGACTGTGACACGCGCCGGGGCCCGAAGTGTATGTGTGCCAAGTTTGGTCCGGATACGGCGGAGCCGGGTAAGCCAGCTAGTTACAAATATATTATTGACAGGCCCGGGCGGAGCCGGTTTGCCAACTAGTTCTCGCTAAAAGGTTTACTCAAAACCTTTCATCAGTGAACTGATTTCCTCACTTTTAATGCCGAAATTTTGAAGTCCTTCAGTTCATGTTTGCTACTTTTTGTGGACAAAGGTAAAATGCGCTTTCAGCGCTGATTCCAATTCTAAGTTTCAAAACTTCCAAGGCTTTTTCAAGGATTATGAGGGTATGCTTCTTCTAATGGCTATCCTTGCCGAGTTTTCCTGTATATTTGCCAAGATCTCCTTCACAACCCTCGCGTTCTTACGGGACGGATGCGGCGCAAAAGAAATTTAAGGGGCCAGCGCCTATAACCAAAGGTGGCCATACTGCGCTCCCGAATGTGCTGCGTATTATGCACGAGCCATAGTTGATCGACTTGATCCACTTGATCCACTCCATTATCGGTTAAATCGGTGGACTGACCAATAGCGAAGTGGATCAAGTGGACATCCACTTCGGTGATCGTCAGTTCACTGATTTGACCAATAGCGAAGTCGATGGGGTGGATCAAGCGGATCAAATAATTTGAGTATAGCACGTGCTTTCCAAAATCAGATTCTTCTGCGATCCCCAAGTGTTCTCTGCCTGAAAAGGCGAGCGATCCAAGAAGTCTTCATGGGTCTCCGTGTAGCGAAATACCTTTCCTCTTACACCACCGAATAAATCAATCCATTTCAATGCAAAACCTCAACAAACCTTGCAAAGACATAATATTTGCGACCTCACCATCTTCAGTACACAATGGATCAGTCAAAGTAGTTCTAAAACAAAAACTTGATATATTCAGAACGTGTAGAACTTCCACTCACCGCGAGCTCAAAACATCCAAATCGCTACATTCGGATTTGCTTGAGGTAAAAACAGGCGTACTCTCGCGCGACGGTACCATTCGCGTCAACAATGTTGCAAATCTCCGTGTTGAGCAAAAGATACTGAAAGAATTAATCATGCTTCCAAGCTGAAGATACTGACTGTTACGAACTTCTCGAATGACATAAACGCGGGTATCGCTGTTCTCGAAGGTGATGCAAGCGTTTGTCAGCTCAGAAGCTCTTGTGAAATCATGCTCAAACATCGCAACGTCTCTGAAAAGAACAGACAAAGAAGTGAACTACTAGGAACGCAACCTGGACTAAACCTGTAGCCTGAAACATCTTGCAATCCAATAGTGATTTTGATATCGTTTCCCAACTCAGTGCGGGGTACAGCGATAGCAGTTGAACGATGTTTACTATGGAATGCGCTTACAACCTAAATATGTGTAGAAAAGTGAATGGCAGTGATGGCAAACGCATCGAAATGAAAAACCAAAACGCTCTGAGAAAAGTCGTCAGCCCTTGTCTTGGAACATACCTTGCTGACTCCTGGGATATGAACAGTGATATCAGCTGTACACTGCCACGAACTACCTTCTACGCCACGATTGCATGATAAGATGATTTCCGCATGATCTTTACTGTCTTTGACTTCAGTCTCCCTTGAAAAGCGTGATTAATGGCTTCCAAAGCAAAAGTGCGAGAAGTATCCACTCAAATCTTCGCTCCTATTTCTGTCCTTTTGGGATCTTTCCTAGGCCTGATTACAAATATATGAAGTGCAAAATGCGCAAAAGCAAAATTGATTTCTGGGAACGTCATGGCAGACAACCTCCAGTACGTGGTTAGGGATCGTTCAGACCGCGCACAAAGGCGCATAAAGGCGCATGAAGGCGCGTGAAGGCGCGTGTGAGTGTGTGTGTCGAGATAAACGAGACGAGACGAGACGCGCCTTCGTGCGCCTTTGTGCGCCTTTGTGCACGGTCTGAAAGATCCCTTAGGCCCCGGACAGACTTCACGCGATTTGATCGTCGCGATTAAATCGCGACAAGACAACAGTTACAACATCATTACATGTCGATCAACTTGCATTCGGTTGTGATACTTTTCCAGCCCGAAATTTTTGGATGTAAAATGAAAATTAATGGAAATCCCGGCGATTAAATCGCGACGATCAAATCGCGTGAAGTCTGCCCGGGACCTTAGGCGCATAATGCGGACGTGGCTTGATAGCACTTTTGCGGGTTTCAGGTTCATTTTTCCATTCAAAGGCCATATCAAAGGAACGGACCAACACAGATGCCCTACTCCTAGGTTTCTTGTAGACTAAATACTAATCGGGAGCACAGATTTTGTCTGGATCTGCTTTCAAACATTTCCATTCCCATTTTCCGCACAAGACCTCACAACAAGTCGAACTGGTGCTGTACATGGGGAGACGGTCAACAGGCGCGATTTCTCCGGCTGTCACCAAATCAAAACTCCAGTTTAGTGCTAAGCGAATTTTTAAAAAATACCAGATAAAGTGCAAAAGCTTACTATCTGTCATAACTCAGCACTTGCTGAGTTTCATGGTTTTGGCTATAAAAGGGACTGAAATATTTACGAATTTGTTCTTACATGCATTTTCATGGGTTTTTGACCTTAAAAATTGCTGTTTTAAATTTTTTCCTAAGTATAATGGTTGAGCAACTCATGCAACTATCTAATAAATCTTTTTCTAAAATTCATCTACTTTTAGAAAGTTGTAAAACACTTATTATGAGCTATTTGGTGCCCAGCTGGCAATAAAATTCGCGCCTCTTGACATACACCCCTGTACATGGTGCCTCACGCGGTTTTACGCAAAACACAGCACTGCTCCTATTACCAGACCACAAAAAAGAATTGCAAATATCACAGCACCCGATCCGCTCGTGCCCCCAACTTGCCCGTTGCTAGGACATTGCCTTTAACCTTTTCCGCCGACTGCCACGATCTGGCGCGGGCTCCTCAGTGACATCGTTCATAGGGCGGCGGTGCAGGAGGAACCAGAGCTCTTGACCCCTGTATCCAAGAGAGAAAGGGGAGGAGCTGGCTGCATGCCAAGAAGGATCTGGCAACCCTCCAAGCTCCGCCCCGCGCGCTGAGCCTGGGTTTTGCCTTTTTTGCTCAGGAATTCGCGGAAGGAAAAGTCTAATTTAAAAGACTTGGAGTGGAGATACAGAGAAGGGGAAAACAAATTTGTGGCTAGTTTTGAAAGGCGAATCTTTTGAATGAATTTTTGTATGAATTCACATCAATGCAATTCATCATTCTTTTAAAGATTGGAATTGATGAAAAATTTTTTAGAGGGTAAAAGCTTCGGGAATTTTTCTGAACTCCTATAAATGGCTTCGCGGAAAACTTACTCTATATTGCAATTTATTTTCCTGAGCTAATTTTCTCAATCTTTTACGATAGTCACTGCGTTAGTTGCATTTGAGCCAATCGATAGCCGATTATTTGACCTTTGCAGGATCAAGCCAGTCGTCTGATGAGCCAAGAAAGTCATAATTCAAGTACTTTATTCTTTGTTAACTCCAAAGTATTTTACTTGGGGAGGGGAAAAGGGGAGGGAAAGGGTGAGAAAAATTCGCGGGAAAGCCGTTGAAAAGTCATGCTTCAAAAGGTGAACTTGCGAGAGTAGATGACAAATTATTCATCAAAAATTTTCGAGTTGCAAAATTAATTCAAAAAGGTGAACTTGCGAAAGCAGATGCCAAATTATTCATCAAAAATTTTCGAGTTGAATTAGAATCGGACAAAAAGTTGAAAAAAAGCAGATAAAGTCACCAAAACTTGTCTGTTATAACAGTTATAGTAGTTTACATTGGTTTCGCCCCATTTGATATTGTCCTACTTCTCTAATCCTATGCCTCGACAACTGCCAGCGGGGTAAAATTGTCCAAGTTTGGTTCGCACTTCAAATATGAGCTGTGAAGCTTTACTGAGCCTCCTCTCAAGGCATAAGATGTTTGCATTTGCATTTTACGTCATTCTTGGATCTGAGTATCCAGAATTCTGTCTCTTTGTTAAAGTTATTATTAGAACCACTCTGAAACTTCATTTTCGGCTTATGTCCCCCTGCTTTGAATCAATCTTCTTTCTGGTCATTTTCTAGGCTTTGTATCATTTCGATTCTGAACAAAATTTAAAAACAATTTAATGGTAGTGGTGTTCCATATACTGACTCTTAGAAAGATGGTTACTCTATTTATATATTAGGTTTATGACATGATACTATTTTTATTATTATCCGGTACCTGAAAACCTGTTTGAGAATCTTTATTGTCCATTTTTCAAGTTCCAATTCATAGTTAAACCTCTTAATCCATCAGATTTCATCAATATCTGGTAGTCCATCCACCATTCTTGCTCAACACACAATGGAAGCATCTCGTGGGCGGAGCGATGGGCGGAGCCTCCTCTGCCTTACCCATTCCCCTTTGGATACAGGCGGCAAGGGCTTTGGTTCCTCCTGCACCACCTCCGTTCATAGCATGCAATTTCATCGCGATTTCATTACCAGATACTATTGTTCATAATTCTTCGTTTTTGTGTGACCAAGACATAGCAACTTGCATCGCTTACAAAACCATGAACTATGAGCCAGTGCATTTGAATTCATCGCATGGCAAATTCGTAGATAGCATGGCGAAGTGCCAAAAGGTGCGGTTACGCGACATTTGACCCAATATGCACATTTTCTTTTCCGTCTCTATTCGAATCCCTTTTTGCATGCATAAAACAGCTGCTAAATACTAGACATATGGAGTGGCTGAGCCGAGCGACAAAATGTTAGGCCCCATCAGTCTTCGCTCAAAAGCGCCCAAAAGCGCTCAAATTCCTCTAAGTCTCTTCACTTTCTCGTGTGAGGAGAGATGTAAAAAGTTAAGAGAGTTTAGGGAGATTTGAGCGCTTCCGAGCGAATCTGGCTGCCAGGTCATAGCCTTTGCTTAGGTGTTTATGCTCTTGCGATGTAAGCGGGCGTAGAAGACGCAACTGGACTCGTCGTCACAATTTACGAAGCGCTTATACCACGTTTGAAAAAGAACTATCTGACTGAAAAAGAACTATTAGACCGCTTTGTTACCTGGCCGGCTAATCTCGATATCTCGATAATCTCAATCTTCAGTTAACATCTCTCGAAAGTAAGCACAAGATCTCAAAATGAAAGGACGTGCAATGTAAAACCTTATACAGATTCACAAATTCTGAAGTTCATCACTCTGTAGCAATGAAGCAAGTGAAGAAACGTATAGCGATATAAAACTATAAACTTGCCATTCGAATCCGCAGAAATTCCGCTTAACAACAGCATAACCTTTGTCGGCCATAACAAGAACCACACTGTCTTCCAGCATTCTAAAAAGAGGTAGCAAGTTCAGGCAGAAGACAGAACAAGTTGACTGAAATAAAGATCAGGATTGGTAGTGAAGGCCGTTTCGTAGCTACACTATCGATCAACTAGTTGGGGTCCCGAAACGATTCCCGACAGTGCGGTGTAAATCTGCAGATCTGGCATGCTATCGTTATTACATCATTACAAGAGCAACGAGTATGTATCATTGGCAATGCAACCATAAACAACCTTTATATTTTTGCTCAAGATTCCGGAAGTATCAGCGCGGTGTCCCGGGAAAATTCCGCTCTCCGGTTTTCACCTCTCCGGAGCCTTCTCGCCATGAAAGCCATATCTGAGCTTTTCAGTGCTTGAAAACGGCGAAAATGAGCTTTTCTCGCAGCTCTTCGTGTCCGCTTGCGCTCCGAATTACGTGTATAGGCCGTCCGCGCAAGGCGCGGAGAGTGCGCAAGGTGTGTATTGCGCGTCACTCCTCTTTCCCCGTGCACTCTCGCCGCCTGTTTTTCTCTGCGCTCAACTATCTTCACTGGACGCAACAGCGTTGCTCTCCGCGCGCAGCGCGGACAACCTATAAGAACTGGGCGAGGTCTGGAAATAGGAGGCGTCCGTAAGACTTCCGGAGCGGTTTTAATGCGGCCTCAGAATCATTGAGAAATCCTTCGACCACCTGTAAAAAGTCTTTTTGGAAAATCAAAAACAAAAGCAGTATTGTTTCATTGATGAGTAGCATAAAAATTCGGAAGCAGCGAAACATGCGTAATTTGTGGGTAAAATATCAGTATTCCTCAACTTCACCAGTGCCCTGACATACTCCGATTTTCAATATTTTCATACATATTTTGAGGCGAAAATTGCTAATTTTTGTAAGATTAGTAAATGTGATTATCGTTCTTTGAAATCTCATCAGTATTTCAAATTTGTGTAATGTTTGGTGCAATAGCAGTCTATACGATTCAAGTTGGACAATTACTTAAATTTCAAAAAAGTAGCTGAAAAAACAAAAATTGCCAGGCAAAAGGTTTACCCTACCTGCTGTTTACTAAAGCCCAAAAGTCTTAAATAAAAACTGTGAAAATTAGCGAAATCTGGACAGGAAACAAAGGGTTGAAATTTTCAGCGATTATCTCAGCACTCTCTCAACGATTCACGGAGAATAGAGCAGCTGGAAAAAGGAATAATCTTCTGAACTGTTTACCATTCCATGTTCGAGGAGGTCAGAATGGGCCGAATATAAAATTTGATTATTTCAAAGGACATATTCTAGAAATTCTGAAAGATAGGTTACAGAGCCACAAAAAATTGCTTGAGTTGACAAAAGCTTTGCCCTATCTGCTGGCTGCTGAAGCTTCCCTAAAATCTGAAGTTAAAACTGTGAAAATTAGAAAATCTGGACATGGTGAAAAGTTTGCCCTTTGCTTCAACCAAATGGGCTGCTGGAACGCGAGACTCCATGTCCTAGGCGGCGACTGCTCGCGTCCGCGACGCAGTCTGCGTCTCCCTCGCGAACATGCTCTTTGATCATTTTCTAGCCCTAACTAGGTCACGGAGCCCCCGCCCTCCAGCGGTTGACCTAGTTGAAGCAAAGGATAAATTCCATCGATTATCTAGGCACTCTCCCAACGAATCGCTGAAAATATAGCAGTTGGGAAGAGGAAGAAATTCTGCACCGACTTGAAACTTGAACAACTTGAAATATCTACAGGGTGTCCCAAAAAATGTATCGCACGTTTGATCGTTAATATCTCTCTTCCCAAGAAGTCTTTTGTCTTGCTTCAAGTACCGTTTTGTAGAGCTGGCTTCAACTTAAATTTGCATTATAGAACGAATCACCCATCTCTCTTCATTACTGCAGGATTACGGTAGAAACTTGAAACATATGGTGTCAATGTGGAAAAAGCTGCAAAAAACTCAAAATTTTTCAAAAAATTGTGAAAACTTGTGTAATAGAGTTTTTTAGACGCTGAGTTCAATACTCAACTATTCACAAGATTACGAAGCTTTCTAAACGGTGTAATTGCACTCTTCAGGAACATTGAAAAAATGGCCGCTACCTCCTACCTGGCATAACTCTTCAATGAAGCACCATAATAAGTTGAACTTTACAGTTATAATCAGCAACTCTAATTAGCCCAGCTTGAAAGTTTCCAGGCTGTTTTGTTTCCTTTCTAAAGCAAAATATGGCCTTTCATTGCTTCAAACCCTCTTTGAAGTTTCTACCGTAATTCTACAGTAATGAAAAGAAATGAGTGATTTGTTCTATAATGCAGTTGATGCCAGCTTTACAGACTGGTACCTGAAGCAAGAGAAAAGACTTCTTTAGAAGAGAGATATTAACGATCAAACGTTTTATACATTTTTTGGGACACCCTGTATTTATCTTTACAATACGGATGTGCGGTTCATGTCAAAAAACTGATAAAACTTTTAGACCAATCTAATAAAAACTGTGTTGAAGCGTTTTGTATCTCAAGATTTCATAACCACATAAACTTTTTTTTTTGCATTTTCATACGCGCAGTGTCTAACAATTAGGGCAATGACATTTCTCATAGATACTGCATTATAGCTAAAAAGTAACCGGAAATGTGCGTGTAAAACCAGCACAGGTGTTATGAAATGTACCTGTTGCTACTTTTTAGATGGAGAAATTGCGCTATCACCTTAGTCATCGGTATAGTGTCGGTGTGTGATTTCGCAAGCCTTACAGGACTGCCATCATAAACTTATTTGCTTTAACGCCCCTTTGCTCATGCGGCATGAAATTAATAATCCATTAGCTCATCTAGTCGTACGGAGGTCCATCGCTCTCTATATTTTTTCCCAAATCTTTATTTCCTGCTGATCCTGGTAATCAATTTGTTCTTATAAAAAAAAGTTTACATGTTTCGCACGCCCTTGACCAGTGAGCGTTTAGTCTTCAAAGGCATTGTTCAGACAGTAGTGTGATTTTGGCGTAGTGCGGTAGCATGACTCCTGACTAATGCAACAGTTCAAGTCTGATTGAAAAGAAGTGGATTCTGAAGCGAGAAAATCGCTTTGGAAAAAAGGGGCGGTCCGCCAACCCCGCCCCCTTGACAAGTTTTGACGTAGTTAATACATTAGATCTACAGCATTCGCCACGTCAAAACTTGTCAAGAAGGCGGGATTGGTGGACCGCCCCTTTTTTCCGAAGCAATTTTCTCGCTTCAGAATCCACCTTTTTCGATCGGACTTGAACTGTTCGGTTAGTCAGGAGCCATGATCCCGCACTGCGTCAAAATTCCACTACCTCCCATTCCTACTGGACAATGCCTTTAAGTCACATGTACACTAGTGATCGTTTGTTTTGAAGTGAAATTCAATATTGTTGAATGGCTTTTACTTCCGCTATTCTGCACGATTTTCGGCCTCGCTCCCAAAACTGCACTCTTAGACAATGAGTGTTTGTTATGCAAACATTCAAAGTTGTTTGATTTTCTAGCAGTGGCGGTCCCAGGATTGACCGGAGGGGGGGGGGAGGCTCCGAAAATTTTTTGGGACCCTTCCCAAAATTTTTGTGGGCCCATGACCCAGATAATATTAAGAAACGGGGGCGTGGCGGCAACCACGCTCCCGAGTTACAAGGCTATTTAGAATTTTAAATAAAAAACCTCAAAATTATCATAATCATTCACAAGTTATAAACAGGTCAAATTTTATAACCCACTAGCTGGCTTACCCGGCTCCGCCGTATCCGGACCAAACTTGGCACACATACACTTCGGGCCCCGGCGGGTGTCACAGTCCACCTTTCGTTATCGATCGATGTCGATTTTACCGATTTTTATCGATTTTTTTGCAGAGTTCACCTACAGGGCTAGGAATTGGCACAGGGGGGAAGTGAGCAAGGGGATTCCGAATACAATATTAGTTTTCAGAATTATCGATTACTTTTATTGTTTTCATCGATTTTTTGTAAATTTTGACATGCGAGGCTGGGATTTTGCACAGGGGGGTAATCGAGCATGCTGATTACGAACACAATATTAGTTTTCAGGGTCGTCCATTACTTTTATTCGATTTTATCGATTTTTTTTGTAAAGTTTGACCTGCGGGGCTGAGAGTTTGCACAGGGGGTAATCGAGCATGCAGATTACGAATACAATATTAGTTTTCAAGATCGTCCATTACTTTTATCGATTCTATCGATTTTTTGAAAATTTGAGCTAGGGGGCTGGAATTTGGCACAGGGGTGTAATCGAGCATGCTGATCACCCCCCTTAGGGATGATCAGCATGCTCGATTACCCCCCTGTGCCAACTTCCAGCCCCCTAGCTCAAACTTTGAAAAAAATCGATAAAATCGATAAAGGTAATCGATAATCCTGAAAACCAATATTGTGTTCGGAATCCCCATGCTCGATTACCCCCCTGTGCGAACTCCCAGCCCCGTAGCTCAAACTTTGCAAAAAAAATCGATAAAATCGATAAAGGTAATCGATAATCCTGAAAACCAATATTGTATTCGGAATCCCCATGCTCGATTACCCCCCTGTGCCAACTCCCGGCCCCGTAGCTCAAACTTTGCAAAAAAAATCGATAAAATCGATAAATGTAATCGATAATCCTGAAAACCAATATTGTATTCGGAATCCCCATGCTCGATTACCCCCCTGTGCCAACTCCCAGCCCCGTAGGTGAACTCAGCAAAAAAATCGATAAAATCGATATCGATCGATGACGAAAAGTAGCCTATGACACCCGCCGGGGCCCGAAGTGTATGTGTGCCAAGTTTGGTCCGGATCGGTTCAGAAATGGAATTTTCTATTCGGAACATACGTACACACACACAGACAGACAGACAGACAGACAGACAAACAGACATTCAGCTTTATATATAAGATACAAGTACCCTTCAGATATTTCGCGGCCCATTCTGGGGAAGGGGGGCGCCTCCCCGGACCGCCACTGTTTCCTGCGTATTCCTACATACAATGCACACATTATGCGTCTCAAAATGAATTTATTGAAACATTTTCTCAGG